CCATGGGATAAATAGTGTTAAAGTAATATTTAAATTCTTCATTTTATTATGACACTCGAGAAATGTCAACATTATTATTCTAGTTTTCTGTATATTACAAATAACAAATTTTCAAAATTCAAGTAGTTACGGAGAAAAAATACCGTAAAAGATAAAGAAAAAACAAAAAAAAAAAAAACGCCAAAACAACGAGTAAACGCCAAGTTTACGCTTATAAATTGGAGCAAATTGTGTGGATGTAATAAATGATTGCGTTTATAAGCCCAAGTCAGCACAGAGAGCGAGGTGGGCTCGCGTTGCAGCGAGCGACGTTCGCGCGGGAGAAATTAGCAAGAAAGGGAAAGTCTCGAGCTCGCTGCATCGTCGTCGTGGAATTTTCTCTTTTTTAATGTCCGAGCGCGCGCGCACACATATAAAAACTCTCTGTAATATGTGTATATATTATATACACGAAAGAGTAAGTCTTGGGATAGAGAATATGGGTGCATTCATATATATATATATATGCGTATGTGTGTACGAGCCGATATAAACGTTTCGAGAGAGAGACTCGTTGTATGTGTATAAAACTTACGCAACGATACTCAAGGGATACGTCGTCTTATGTATAATACGCGCCCGCAATACATGCACAGTCGATCGACTTCCTCTCCGCGTGCGTACCCATAACATTGCAGCAAATTTGCGCTGCATTATTACTCGTATCGAGCGTAATATTTTCTACTGTGCATTTTCTACACTGCGAATTTGTACTTTTGACCTAATTCAATACTGCCATGCATTGGCTCTTCGTTATTTTTCATGCGGAAAAAAGCCGTAAATATACGGAAGTACATAAGCGTGGATGCGCGTACAATGTCAATTCCAAAAAAAGAAACGCCTATAGGCGAGGCGATTCTTCATAGCGGAGGAGGAGCTTTTTATTGAAGATCAGTAAACACTCTAGTACTCGCGTATAAAGGACAAAGTCAAAGGTTAAGGCTTTTACGCAAACAGTCGCGAGGCAACTTATTAAATTTGTCCACGTGCATCAAGCAGAATCTCTACGCTGCGAGCAACGCATCACGCACGAAGGATTGACGTATTTCGATCCCAATAATCAAATCTCGTGTCCAGTCCTTGATTTTTATCTCGATTTTCTTTTTCTAATTTAAGCACGAGCAAACATTTTTTCATTTTATTTTCAATCTGTCTGTATGTGGAAAACTCGCACGAAAACGTCTTAACTGCAAATTTAAACATCTAAAGATTTCTTTTTTTTTTAATCAAGTATATTAGTGTACATCGAGTCTGGAACAGACAGTGTAGTCGACAATTTTATCTTAGCATTTCTTTTTTTATAAATGATTTCTTTAGACACTGTAACTTCATTTGGGACAAATCAAGGAGCGTCCGCTATTACTCCTAAGTAATTTGAATCAGAATCTCTACATTATCCGTGTTAAAGTACGCTGCAGCGCATACGAGAAAAAGAGCGAGATAGACGTAGGAAGTACTCCCGTAAGTAAAAGAAGAAGAAGAAGAAGGAAAAAAAAATGGAAAATTCCCGAGTCGAAAAAAAAAAGATGTTAAAGGCCTTACGAAACCTCGGCGTTACATTGGATAATTTTCGTGTGCGCCTAAATATCGCGATATATATATAATAAAATGCGCGGGTAAGCGCGTCGAGGAGCTGCTGCTGCTGCTTGTGGTTCGTGCATGCATGCGTGCGTGTTCGCGCAGAAGAGGGAGTGCTCTCACTTTTTATCCGGCTGGACCACTCTCACCTGGGCTAATATAACGAGTGTCCGTGTGTGTGCGGAGTCTCCGAGTACGGGGCAGCGAGAAGAAAGTATTTCCGGGTCTCGCTGTGTGAGTGCACTTATAAACGTACGTGTGCGAGTGTGTGCACTTGCATAATGCCGCGCGCACAGCTTGGCTTTTGCCGAAAGCGAGTAAACAGAGTTTGACTTCTTCGGGCGACCGGTTGTTAGCTCGCATCCAGCGTCCGAACAGTATCGACATTTTAACGCACGCACACGCGCGCGCGGCAACGCGTCCGACCGAGGCTATTTTCGCTCGTTCGACGTTTTTTTTCTTCTTTTTTTCTAGTGATTGTGCTACGTTTTTTTTTTTTTCTTTACTTTTTCTCCCTCTCGCTCCTTTTATTATCGAGATCGAGATTCCAGTGCTTTATCGATTGAAAAGAGTTGTATTGTTGTTTCCAATACGTTTGTGTGCCTCGAGAGCAAGTGCGACGAGGTGTGTGCAGCAATTTTTCATCTTTATTGAGAAAAATTAGTTTGGATGATTAGATGCGTAAGTAAATACATAGAATACTATACATAGCGTAATCAAAATATACAAGCAGTTCTTGAAGATAATTTATAGTTAAAATTAAAAAACGCTTTAGTTATATCACATTACTTTTTCTTGGACATTTCGTCTGATCCGGACAGACCCAATCGAGTTAAAAATTAAAAAGGTTTAAAAATTAAAAGATTTGTGTTACTTTATTTAGAGTTTACACGCCAATGAATAAATGTTTTTAACAAATGTTTCGAAAAAATATTTCATTTTACTATATCGCATTGGAGATTGAAAAAAGCTCGCTTTCGAAAATTCTACATTTCGCGCGACGTTAGTTACGATGAAATATCGATTTACATGATCAAGTGCAGCTGCTGCACATTTATTCGATTTACGAAGAAGGCATAATATAACAATAAGAATAAATAAAGATGAAATGTAAGGCAGTTGCGTTTTCCTCGGCAGGTTCTTGCCTCGTCGTCGACGTCGTCGTGCATCACTCTGATTTCGAGCTTTTTCTCCAGTTCTCGAATGTACGTCAGAAATTTGCACAAGAATAGAAGAAAGAGAAGCAGCAGTAGTAGTAGTAGCATCATCATCAGCAGGACAGCAAGACCAGCAGCAGCGGCATATCATCATTCCATTGAATTCGCATTTCTCTTGATTTGACAAGAGAGTGAAGAGAGAGAGACGCGCAGAGACACACGGCCTCGCCTCTATTACCGTATACTGCTACTACTACTAGCAGTGGTATACACAAAAGCTGCAGCTGGGCTCTCTCTCTCTCTCTCTCACTGTCTCCTGTCTTTCCACGCACGTCTGGCCTGAGCTACTTAGGCATTCTCTCTGTGCCTCTTCTCGTCATCCCCGTGTGCAGCAGCTTCCCGTATTCGTTTTCCTCGTGCACTTTTTTCTAGGTGAGTGGAAGAGAGAAAAAAAAATAATACTGCTACTAAAAAGGAAAGAAAGAGGCGAGAGAGAAAAAAAAATGGTCGAGCATATTTTACGAGTTCGTACGGTGCTATGTATTAGCTTTTATTTCAAATCGTTAACTAATTACCTTTGCGAAATTTAGCGAGCATCGTAACTTTTTGATCGATATCCGTATCGGTGTTTTAAATTCGTTTAACCGAACGATCGAGTTCGTCAAAAGACCTCGATTTGCTTTTTCCCCCGTATATATACCCAAAGATGAGCAAATCAGATGACGTATAGACGGATCGTCCGCGGGGGATTCAGTCCTATTAACACATCGAGGTCTTCTCCAAGACATCGTATCGCTCGAATAATTCCGAAGTCGCGCTCGATTTCGTCTCGCACCCCGCCCCAAGTGGATTAGGAGCACGGAAGTGCGAATTAGATCGTCGCACGACTGACTCGTATAAATTTCGAAATTGGTCGGGCGGGCGAAAATGATAAAAGAAAGAGAAAGAAGAAGAGCATCGCGCGATGCTTATCTGGTCATCGATCGTGTGTGCGAAGCCCCGACGGAGAGAGACAGAGTAAACAAATTCAACAAGTTCGCGTGCTTGCAAGCTCGCTCCCGTCACTCGATCTCATTTTGGACGGACTAAGTTTCTCTCTCTTTCTCTCTCTCTCTTTCTTTATCTGTATTTTATAACGCGGGAATCGTGTGCATTCAACTTTGGGCGAAAAGAGAGGAAGAGAGGAAGAGAGAGGGAGAAAGCACCTTCGTATCACAAACGCCATCTCGTAGCAAAACCTATACTACAAGTCTTGTTTTCATATAACTGCGGCTTAGTACCTATACACGCATTGCTCATATGTATAGCTTCGACGGTGCAAAATTATACCGCGTTTACATAGAGGAACATCGCCAAATCGATTACCAACGGGCGAATTTAATAGTCGTGCGTATACACGTACAAAATGGTATAAAATAATAAACGATATATCACGCGTTCCGCGCGGCATTGAAACTCGAGAGCCACCTGTTGCGTTCTCAGATTGGAAAGTACAAAAAAAAAAAAAAGGCTAATAGCCCGTTGGCGAAAAGATATCACGCGACCAATTTTGTCTTCGTTTCCGCGCACCGCTCGATTCGTAGGGCGGCAGCTTTGGACAATCGCCGATAAAAAGAAAACGAAACTATATACACACGAGCGATATATAGAAGCTTTACACACGACCGCCGACGACGGAGGGTGTCGGCTGTACACAGCTCGGCCGTACACACGCGAAAGTCGACAAAAGAAAAAAATGCACTAGCGTCGTTGCACACACACACACAGGGGGTATACATCCCAAGACCGAGCAACGATTTATAGAGAAAGAGAGAATGAAGCTTGTAGGGGCTGGCTCGACGACTCGAGCGAGTTTTATTCAGGTTCGGCATTAGACGCGACCAGCTGCTAGTATATAGTAGTAGCTCGAGTCTTAGGCTACTAGTAGCCAATATACATGGGCGCATACAACATAACACACGCGCGTCCGTGGCTCTCTCGCTGTATATCGATTAATTCGTAAATGTAATCGTGAACGAGGTCGCGCCTCGTCTTTCTCTCTCTTTGTGCTTTTCTTCGCGCGCGCACACGCTTACGCAAAGTGGCAACACACGACGTAAACACACGAACACACTCACACACAGTACGCGAAAGACGACGAAAGGGAAACGACGTCGTCGACGACCACGAAGAAGGAGAGCTTCTTCTAATCGCCGGGTAGAAAAGTACAGTGCAGTTCGCGAGCCGCGTCGATGCGTGTTGTTGTTGTTTTTTTTTTCTTTTTGCTCAACCTAGTTTTGTAACGAGCAGCGTAGCGAGTGGCAGTGCGTGGGTGGGTGCGTTGCGCGCATTACAGTGTAGAACCGCGACCGACGATATTTATTTAGGATTGTGCTCGAGAGTGATCGCGATGAGCCATCCTCGCATTAGCTCGTCGAAGCGGCCGTCGTCGTCGCCGCGCGGCAAAACACGTTGCCGCTGCTGTTGCAGCAGCAGCTACATCGAGCTGCTTTGAGCTCAACGACAACGTCGACGACGACTCGGCTTCATGGTGGGTATATACGGTTTATGAGCGCTCGATATATATATCGTTTGCCTATTACGCGCACGACTATCGTGCTACGGTTTACCCCCGAGTAAAATTGCACCCCCGCAAGCTCGTAATTGTCCGCAAGCTCCGACCGCGAGATCAGCGCGATCGATCGAGTTGAATTTTCGCGGCATACCCCGATGAACGTGTATACGCTCGATCCGTGGTCGATTAAAAATTTAAAAAAAAAGCTCGCGCGAGCGAGCGTTACGTCGATGATGATCATCGAACCTGTATTCGTTATATGAAAGCGTCATTATGTATATAATGCATGTTCCGTTGAATTTTAAAAATAAGTTGATCGATTAATAATTGAATGCAAAAAAAAAAAGAAGACACTATTGCACGTGGGTAGAAAAACATCGAGCGCATAGAGCAGTTAAATAGCGCGATCTATTAAAAGGTATCGCGAGAGATTGCGTACGTATGAATATGCGATAGACCCCCGGGGGCATAGATAGAGGTGTCGCGTGGGCCGGGCTACATACGTACGTGCTCTTACAAGCAAATATACAAAGGAATGTAGAGCACGGCGTTTTCGCTTCTTCAAGTACGTTCGCTATATATTTCAAGTGCGCGACACACTCTTAATATTAAAATTTATACATTTAACTCGCGCGTCGCGAAATTTTCCTCACGACCCTATCGCTCTTTTCTCTTTCTCAACGTAAAACGAGCCCGTGTGTCTTTGTCCCCCAAACACCAGGAGTTGATCAAAGCCGAGCTGTTGATCGCGATGGGCGTGTCGACGTGCGAGACTGCCCAGGCCGAGCAGCGCAGCCAGGCCTGCAACGTCCACCAGGTCCTTCACCAGGGCATCGGCGACGCTGGTGGCGGCATCGGCGACAAGATCAAGTCCGAGTCGGACACCGAATCCATCGAAAACAACAACAATAACAATGGCAAGGCGGCGACACCGAGTAGCAGTAGCTCGGCCGGCAGCACCAGACCCGGCACACCCGAGGTCGTGGCGAGCAGCAGCCTGCCGAGCCTCAACAACAACAGCAGCGGCCTGATCGAGGCTTTCTACGCCGACGCCATCATTCTGGTGACCGGCGCCACGGGCTTTCTGGGCAAGGCTCTGCTGGAGAAGCTGCTGCGCTCCTGCTCGAGACTCAGCACCATCTTCGTGCTGATCAGACCCAAGCGCGGCAAGAGCATGGAGCAGCGCTTCGCCGAGCTCCTCGAGAATCCCGTAAGTATCGTGCGATATATATACAAATGTAACGATATATCGATCGTGCGTGGGGGTTGAGCGAATGGGCAAAACTCGTAATTGCCGGCTACTGTGCACGCGCCGCGTATCGATTTTGCACTCGAGCGAGTACTCCTGGGAAAAGCTGTTGCTGCTGTTGACGACGCATATATATTAATACGCAACCGTAGTCGATATTTCCATGCTCGACGATGCTCGGCACGAGTCATCGACGTACATTACGGACTTTAATTAGTTTATCGCGTGCATCGATCGAATCGATCGTATCGCGATATCTCGTCTATGTATCAGGTGTTCGATCGAGTACGCGCCGATCAACCGGGCTGCCTGGGCAAACTGTCGCCGGTCCTCGGCGACGTCGGCATGCCCGAGCTCGGCCTCAGCCTCGAGGACCGCACGATGCTGATGCAGCGCTGCAACATCGTGTTCCACAGCGCCGCCACGGTGCGCTTCGACGAGCCCATCAAGGCCGCGGTGAATCTCAACACGCGCGGCACCGATCGCGTCATCGACCTCTGCAAGGGCATGACCAATCTCCTCTGTCTCGTCCACGTGAGCACGGCCTACAGCAACGCCGATCTCAGGGACATCCAGGAGATGGTTTACAGGTATATACAACGACGATAATTCAATCGGAACGACGTAACGTTTAACCTTTTTTTACCTTTTTTTGTTATCGTTTGCCATTACGAAGCACGAAAGTGAAGCCACAGACGATGATGGAGATGTGCGAGAATCTGGACGACGAGACACTGGCCATACTGGAGAAGAAGCTGATCGGCAAGCATCCCAACACTTACACCCTGACCAAGGGCTTGGCCGAGCAGGTGGTGCTGGCCAAGGGCGTCGGCCTGCCCGCGGTGGCCATAGTGAGGCCGAGCATCGTCTGCGCGGCCTATCAGGAGCCCTACCCGGGCTGGATCGACAACGTGTGCGGCATCACCGGTAAGTATAAATAAATATAATTACTGCGATGCGTCGACCGCGAGTTGAATCATCGAAGACATACCGTAAGTGCTCCGCAACACCGTGTCGTTTTTTTTTTTTTTTTTCGAAAAATTTTTCTATCGATTATACCGATCATCGTCGTCGGCCGGTGGTGTGGCCGGCGGCCCCGAACGCACGCGCGTTTACATAAACTTTCGAAGAAAACGGGATGAGTCAGAGTCGGTGCAACGACGCGCGCGTAGCTTCTTCGCGTTTTTTGTATTCATTGGATTTATTTTCCTCTCTGCCGTCGTCGTTGTCGTCGTCGTCGTCGTGCCATGATCAGCCGCGAATACCGCACGTACACCATATGTTTGCCTCGTGCGCGCGTTAAGTGTACATATAGTACGTGATCGATGCGCGCGAACGCGAGCTGCAAGGATCGCGCGTTACCGAATGAAAATGACCCCCGAGCGCGCGCGAGCAGCAAAGATGCGAAAATAAATAAATCGCGTGCCCCATTTAGGTATCCTGATGGAGATCGGCCGCGGGACCATACGCAGCATCGTCTGCCAGCCCCAGTGCGTCGTCGACATCGTCCCCGTGGATTACGTCGTCGACACCCTCATCTGCACGGCCTGGCACATCGCCAATTATCGGCCCCAGCGCTTCATCAGCAACGTCAACGACAACAGCAGCACCCTGCGCGTCTACAACTGCACCTCGGGCAGCTTCAATCCCGTCAAGTACGTGTACAATAATAATTATGATCGTTCTTTTGTTGACGAAATTCGTGTCCTATAGAAATCGAGTTGACATTTTTTAAAATGATGTTCGGTTCCTGTGTATATCGCGAATTAACCCATTAGCGCCCAGCCGGACACTTTTTTCAACTGAACTTTAAGCAAAAATCTTTACTATTCAGAATTTTGCTAAAAATTAACGAGTTCATGTATCTAACGGGAAATTTAATGCCCTTTTCGAATATGGCTTCAAAATTAATCTTAAAATTATTGTTCAAAAGTTATAAACAATTGAACAAAAAAAAACACGAATTGAAAAAAAAAATTGTCTTCAACTCGAATTTTAAAACAGAAACAGGCTTGATACTTAGGTCCCGAGCACATTGAAGGTGTCCATGGGATGTAAACTGAAAATCCCAATATCCATAATATCGGAATTGGACATTTTTCATAAAAAAATGGCGCTGCGTAGAAAAAAGACCGTATATGAGCTAAACCAATTTTTTTACATGACAAGGATGCATTTAGGAAAAAAAGTTATATTGAAAAAGTTCTTAGAATTGTTCAAAGAACAAACCTGAATTTTTTCAGAATTTTTGGTGAAAATTTTTGAATTTTTCGAATAATTTTGAATTTTTTGAATTTCATCATTTTCCGAAAATTCAAGCATGCAGAAATTTTATAGAGTGAAGTAAAGAGCTGAAAAGTGTCTGGTAGATTTATTAATAAAATTGACATAAACTTGAGGGGTTTGTGCAAATTTATTGACTTTTATTTCAAATTTCAACATTGTTTTTACATGGCGAGATAGCATTAAAAGAAGTCATGATATTTACATTAAATTCGATACGTTCATGAATTTCTGATGCGTGAGCGATGCACCGAATCAATGTGAGATTTAAGATTATTCTTCGTTGTATATTTCTTTCCGCATAGATCGCATGCATGAGCGATGCCTTTATGTGCCGCATCTATGTGGCACTTGAGGTAGGTCTTAGTTTTGAATTTTTTCCCGCAATGGTCACACGTAGATACGAGACCATTATGCGCCGAATCGGTGTGATTTTTTAGAGTAATTTTTTGACTAAATGACTTTCCGCATTTGTTGCATTCATACGATATACCATTATGTACCGAATTGATGTGTCTGTTGATGTTCCCCGCAGTTGAGAATTTCTTTCCGCATATTTTACACGAGTGTTGGACACCATTGTGTACCACATCGATGTGAGCCTTGAGACTGCACGGCCGGGTGAATATCTTGCCGCATGCATCGCATGTATGCGTGACACCTGTATGCACCGCGTCAAAGTGGATTTTCCGACTGGACTTTTGTGTGAATTTCTTTTGGCATAAATCACAAGAGTAGGTGATTTTATTGTGCACCGAATTGATGTGAATTCTCAGATAATCCTTACTTGAGCATTTCTTTCCGCAAATATCACATGTAAATTTAAGACCATTATGCACCTTATCGATATGGATTTTGAGACTGCCCTTTTGTGTGAATGACTTTCCACAAATATCACATGTATGTTTGGTACCCTTATGAACCGTATCAATGTGTGTTTTTAGATGACTTTCTTGAGGGAAAGTTTTCTGGACTACAATGCCACGTTGATGGTCAGCCTTTTCTTTGATTTTCCTTTTTCTATTTTTTTCGACAAGTTCGTCGTCGAAAAATTCTTGTTTCACTTCACCCACGGTTTCTTTCTTAATTATTTTTTGAGTTTTGTAACTATAGTTAACTTTTCTTTTTCGCAAGTGATATGGAAAATCATCGTCGATTTTTTTAACTGTTAATAAATCAATGTTGGGTTTGACGTCTTCACATTCGACGATTACTTCCACTTCGTTATCAAGTTGACTTTCATGATTCCCATCGTCTTTTCGAAGATTATGGGTCTGTTAAAAAATTAAATACGGCTCAGATGTAATAAAAAGACGAGTTACATATATGTAGTTACGCTTACCGAATGTCCTGGCGAAAATGATAGGAGTTGAACGTTTTTAAGATCGGGGTTTTCGTCAATCATTTTACTATTATTTTCGCTACAGGGCACATCCCTAGGCTCCTCCTTTATTCTAAAATGATTCCAACGAGATCGAGTAATAGGTTATAATCTTTTTATAATTTCATTTTCATAAAATTAAAATTACCTGACAGCATGACAGTTGAGTATATCGCTGGATTCCATGATTCTCAATTGTAATTTCCTTGAAAAAGAGTACTTTCGATACGATTTTACATTACCACTCACTGCACACAAAAAGACCAACGAATGCTGTTGCGTCGTGCTCGCAATAACTTCAAAATCTGTGTCTACACTATATAGTGTGTATAGTGCTACGGTCCGAGACAACGTGCCAGACAATTCGCACTATGGAGAGCGACGCACGACGTAAACAAAAATGTGCAGATCGTCCAAGTATTCGATATTTGGCGATACTTTCGAGAATGTTTTGATTATTTTATATCAATTACTTTTAGTCGCTCGTTACTTCGATATTCGATCGAGCTCATACGTCTCCCGAATTTCACGAATATCCAACATTTTTCTATCGTTGACATATTTTTACGACGATACAAGAGCTATGGCAATACGAATTAGCGCATATTATTATGGTCGATGTTGGTGCGCAGATGGGGCGAGGTCGGCGAGATGACGAAGAAGTACGCGATCGAGTCGCCCTCCAAGTACGTCATGTGGTATCCGCACGTCACCTATCGCTCGTCGCGATTCTTCCACAAGATCGCCGTCGGCGTTCTCCACTTTCTGCCGGCCTTCTTCATCGACATGGTGCTCAGACTGCGCGGCGGCAAGCCCAAGTAAGGCCCCCCCTTCTTAGCCTATTGTACAATTGCCAAAAATGGTGCCGATAACGAATGAAAAATTTCCCCCCCAGAATGGTGAGAATCACCAAGAGGACCCTGCGAGCGGTGCGCACCGGCGAGTTCTTCGCCATCAACGAGTGGTACTTCCACACGGAGAACGTGCGCGAGCTGATCAAGAGCGTCAAGGGCTCGATCGTCGACGGCGGCAAGTCGCGCTTCAACGTCGACCTCAGCCAACTGGACTGGGAGGCCTATGTGCAGCGCTACGTGCTCGGCATCAGGAAGTACGTGCTGAAAGACACGCCCGAGACCATCGGTCGCGCCAAGAGCAAACTCCTCAAGTCAGTATATTATCCCGCGTTTACCACTGATTTACTCCTCGTTTATTTTTTCGTTACCTTCTTGTAATTTTTCTCTCTTTTTTTCCGCTCTTATATATGAACCTGTTGCTGTAACTTACGTGCACAGGCTGTACTGGCTGCGTCGCGTTATGCAAACGATCACGCTCTATCTGCTGGTGAAATTCATCGTGAAGATCAGCGGCCGGTGACGGGCCGTCCGCCACGGCTGCCGTTGCTGCTCCTGCTGCGCCTCGTGATCTTCGTCGTCATCGGTGAAAAGAGAGAAAGAGAGAGAGCCGCGCAAAAATTTTATTCCACATTTATGGCTGGACTTTTTTTTTACGGCTCGACCGATCACTCCGAAACAAGTGGAGTGATTTACAATCGCAATAATAAAACGTGTAAGTAAAGCTTGTTTTTTTGTAACGAGATATGTACTTATAATTATTTTTTTTGTATACCTTACTTCAGTGGTATATTATTATTACGCATACAACAAGGTTTACAATTTTACCCCTAATTTTAATATGCAACGATAATTTTTAAGTTTCTCTCTCCTTTCGATCCGACGTTACATACATGTATCTAGTTACTCAGAAAATTATACCGTGCAACAGTTGTCATAATATTATATACACATAAAATACGTAAGCATACGAAAATAGACGTTAGATTGCATTATCAGTTGAATTATAGTAAGAGATCGAAAGAAGAAAATGACTGATGTTAAGTGGGTTGGGTATTATCATCAATATTATACAAGTATTACTCATTAAAGGACATATTCGTGTCAATGGTATTTCATAATAGTGCCTTACACATGTATCGCCGTGTAAATGTACATTAATAATAATGGAAAATCAATTAAATTAGTTTTTTATATTAAAAAAAAAAAAGAGGTGAAATTCAAATGCAGCACCGATGTGTTTGAGTTACTGGAAAAAAGTAAGATTTTGTCAATTACCAAGAAAATTCGTCACAATATGTTATTTAAAATGTAAATCGAATCGAAGTAAACGATAGTATTATAGTAATTATTATATTATGTAATTGCATCAACATAACCATATGTATTTTTATTATACATTATAATCTATTTATCATATGTTATTACCATTTATGTACAATTAACAGAAAAAGAAAAATAAATCTATATGTTTACTTTCATTCACAGTTGCAATGTACATTTTTTTTCTATCTATGTATAAAACAAAGATCGATCGCGAGCGGCTATGCGAAACGTCAAATTCACATAATTATCGATTGAAAAAAAATCAACGCAGAGTTTCCATCAAATTCGAATCTTCGTTTCTGTCGTGATTCGATAATTCGGATGTGACTTTCGGTTTAGCGACCTAAAAAGAAAAAAAAATTTAATTCGAATCATTTACTCGATTGTTAAATTTTTATATTTTTTACCTTGATCCGTTTCAACGGCTCGTCCGCGTCCAGACTCTGGGCCATCAGGTACTTGCGCAGGAACGGCGCGACGAGGGCGGGATCGAGCTTTTTCGAATCTTGAGAGGACACCAGGCTCACTAGTAGACTAATGCCGACCGTCACGATGGTCCCGGCCACCGTGTACCAGAGATAGCTCAATCGATAGACAGCCCAAGTTTCACTGGCAAGGACGAATGAAAAAAATAAATGTCATCACCGATGACTGGAAAATGTCAACACGATTCGATTTTGTATACCTCTCCTCGAGATCGTCGAGCAGAGTTTCCGGGGGCAGAAGAAGCAGCAGACTTTCCGTCCGATGAAACGAGTAAGTGCAGCCTTGGGTGCTCGTCGGTTTTACGTCGTGCCTGAGGAGCGTATAGAAAAATATAAATGATCTTGAAAAGAGTTCGTTCGGATATCGATGTCATTACCGAATTTTTCCGCTCGAGATGGCAGCTTCGGAAGCCAGACTGAGCCAGCTCATGAAGGCGAGGCCGGATATGCCGCCGATCAATGCGCCCTGTGGGACAAAATCGAAGAGAAAAAAGAAGAGATCGGAGGAACGAATGCGTTTTGGGGTCATTTTCATAGACCGTTCGATCATTGTGCATGGTGTACGTGCGATATGCAGCTTTCCGAGCATTTTTCCTCGAAGGAATGAATAATCCCTGGTAATGAGCCGCGAACGAGTCAATTAATTAAGAGCTCCGCGCGCAACGCGAGGCCTTTTATACACTCCGTAGAACTATATGCACGCGCGAAGACTAGTTTTCTCATATACGTAACGATAATAAGGCGCACGCATAGATGCGCGTTCAGAGCGACGAAAACAAAAACAAAAACAACAACGTATCAACAAAAAAAAACGCAATAAAAGGAGTAAAAAAAAATAGAAACGCGGCTCCGTCAAATATTTCATCGATGAGCTGTTTCGAAAAAGAGGGCATCGAATTAAATTACACAGCGGCCGGGCAAAAACTACATGATCCCCATCGTATCGCGTTCGACGAGAATTTCCACACGGCTCGCTCGGGCGCGTCCGTCGATAACGCGGTGTACAGCGATTTTTCTCCCTTTTTCTCTCTCTCTCTCTCTCTCTCTCTCTGTCGATCGAGCAGCGAGACGATGACTCACCGAAAATGAAAAAAGGCAACTAAGCGCTTGGATAATTTCTCTAATGAATGGCTAGTTGAACAAGCGCGAATTACGCGACACACAAAGAGTCGCGCGAGTGTCCCTTTATCTCGTTCGATATACGGTCTGCTCTCGCGGTGTATGATGAATAATTCAGCACCGCGCGAATCGCGAAATGAAGCGAATTAAAATCGAGACGAGCTGCTGCACTAAAAAGCGATAGGGAGAAAAGGGAAAATGCATAGCTCGTTAAACGAGCGAACTTTCGCGATTATTCGCATCGCTGCCATGCAGCGACGACGAGTCGCGTTACATATATTCCGCGACGACGACGTACGTCTTTTTTGGACGAGATAATCAGGTGCGGTGTACCAGCGATGCGGCGAGTACAAGCATAAGTATACGAAAAAGAGTCGTAAAAGAAGCAGAGATCGCGCGCGACAGGCTGGCTGGCTCGATCGGTCGGCTCGTCGCTCTCGGCCGATCATCGCGTGTGCGGTGGTTCTCCGCTCGCGACGATGAATCATGCATGCCTGCCATCCACTATATACCAGCGAGAGTCTCGCGAATCGGAAGAGAGATTGCACGTAGTCGAACGCGGTGAATTTCTTTAATTCTCTAGCATATAGCTCGCGTTGAGTTACGACGAAAAAAAAAAGAAAAAAATAAAAAAATACACGATGTACGAGTCCAAGGATATCGAGTCTGGGCCCCGCGTTTATACCGCATTACGAGGAGTTGGAATAAGTAAAGCAAAGCCAGTGTGTGTGTGTGTGTGTGTGTGTGTGTGTGTGTGTGTGTGTGTGTGTGTGTTGGAACACGTACGTTGGCATTGATCCAAGGCACGAGCACGCCCATACTGAAGATACCGAGCGAAGGTCCACTGGTTATCGCGCTCAAGCTAAACGTCAACTGCAACACACACCAACGCCAATATTATCATATACGCATGCGTATGTGTGTAATGGAAAAACAAAAAAGCTCGTCGCGCGAGCGACGAGAACCCTTGGGACAGACAGAGAGACGCGACGACGACGATGCTTGTGAGGTAGGAAAAAAAAAGATAAATAAATTAAAAAAAAAAAAAAAAGTAAATAAATAAAGAAGTAGCACGAACGAGTGCCTTTGAGCGCGTGATTATCATATTATATAGGTATACATTATCGGCTCGAAGAAGAAGATGAAGAAGATGAAGAACGTTGAGAGTCAGTTACAGTGTCATTGGCTTGGTGCTCGCGCGAGACTGCGCGGCACCAAGCTCTCTCTCTCTCTCTGTCTTCTCTTTGCCTCTGTCGACGTTACTGCTGCAACCTGTTGGGACGCTCTTTTATAATGTAATTCCGTGCTTTTGTATTATACACGAGCGATTCTAGAATTTACCTGCCAAACTTTTGGCTAAGAAACCGGTCGTTATTTTTTCATTTAGTTTTTACTTGTGATCATTGTTTTTTCGGTAGGTCGTGTAAGGAAGCTAGAACAATTCGCGAATATTCGATGTATAGTCCAAAATTTCATCGGTTCTCTGTCCCTTGTTCTTTCTTCGTTATTCCGTTGCCGCAAAGAAAATTCAAGTGATATGAAAAATTTCCCGTCACATAATTAATGGCTATCGTTATAGAATATTTATTCTTATGAGCTACGTAGGGCAAATATCGATACAAAAATCCATGTCCCCATTGTAAACAAATATGAGCAAAAACAGTCTTAACATCGTCGATCCGATCATCGCTGATCATGTTTACAGCAAAAACGAATCAGTTCGAATGTTGTCTTTCTCGACGAAACAAGCCATAATACCAAAAGATAAATTATACTCGTTCGATTTCCATAGTACTAAATAGAAAGATCCATCGTTTAATTTAGACGTCAAAATGGATAAAATTAAGAAATCAGAAAAAGTTGTCTCAAAAGATAACTCAAGTGAACCCCACGTCGTTGTTTCGGACGACAAACAACGCGACTGTGATATTGGTCAGGAGGCTTTTATGCTAGAATCGAGAATGATAACACACCGAGGCTCAGTTCACAACGAACAAAAAAAATTCGCCTGCGACAAGTGCGAGAAGAAATTTGGACAAAAAAGGCATTTGCTTGCCCACCAAAGGACAGTGCACGAGGGTCGTAAAGACTACGCATGCGAGAAATGCGAAAAGAAATTTGGAAAGAAATCAGATTTATTTCGACACCACAAGACAATCCACGAAGGTCGCAAAGATCATGGGTGCGACAATTGCGAAAGGAAATGTGTGAGTAAATCAGATTTGTTGAAGCACCAAAAAACAGCCCATGAAGGTCGCAAAGATTACGCATGTGATACATGCGAGAAAAAATTCGGACATAAAAGTGCTTTGCTCGCCCACCAAAAGATGGTACATGAGGGTCGTAGAGATTATGAATGCGACAAATGCGAGAAGAAATTTGGAAGTAAACAGCATTTGTTGAAGCACCAAAGGACAGTCCACGAAAAACGCAAAGATTACGCATGTGATACATGCAAGAAAAAATTCGGACATGAAAGTGTTTTGCTCGCCCACCAAAAGATGGTACATGAGGGTCGTAGAGATTATGAATGCGACAAATGCGAGAAGAAATTTGGACTTAAACATCAATTGCTCAGACATCAAAAAATAGTTCACGAAGGTCGTAAAGATTACGCATGTGACAAATGCGAGAATAAATTCGGACTAAAACATAATTTGCTTGGGCATAAAAGAACAGTCCACGAAGGTCGTAAAGATTATGCGTGTGACAAGTGCGAGAAAAAATTTGGACAAAAATATACTTTGCTTCTCCACCAAAAGGTAGTACACGAGGGCCGCAAAGACTACGCGTGCGACAAGTGCGAGAAAAAATTTGGACAAAAACATCATTTGCTGGATCACCTAAAAACTGTACACGAACTTTGCAAAGATTTTGCATGCGACAAGTGCGAGGAAAAATTTGGACGAAAATCTTATTTGCTCTTTCACCAAAAGACAGTTCATGAAGGTCGAAAAGATTACGCATGTGACAAATGTGAGAAGAAATTTGGCGAAAGGAACAATTTGATTGAGCACCAAAAGAGAGTCCATGAAGGTTGCAAAAATTATGCATGCGATAAGTGTGAAAAAAAATTTGGAAAAAAATCACATTTAATCAAACATCGAAAGAAAATCCATGACGGTCAAAAATATTATGAATGTGACGAGTGCGAGAAGAAATTTGGATTTGAATCGCATTTCCTCGACCACCAAAAGACAGTCCACGTAATCCGCAAAGATTTCGTTTGTGACAGGAGCGACGCGAAATTTGAGTTCCAAAGTCATTTGATTAAACACCAAAAGGCAGTACAGAAAAGTCACAAGGATGATGCACGCGAAAAGTGCAAAAATGAATCCGAAACTCCATCTGATTTGCTCGGACATCAAACAAAAGTTCACCAAGGTCGCAAAAAGTACGAATGCGACCGGTGCGAGAGGAAGTTCGTACTGAAGTGTAATTATCTTTACCACAAAAAGTCGGTACACAAAAATGATAAAGAAAAGAGCAAAAATAAATCGGAAAATCCATCTGAATCCCTTAGTTACCAAATAACAGTTCCCGAAGATCGCCAAGATTATGCATGCGACAAGTGCGAGATGACATTTGAACAAAAAGTTAATTTGCTCTTGCATCAAATGGCAATTCATGAAGGATGCAAATATTACCCATGCGACAAGTGCGAAAAAAAATTTGGAAAAAATCGAGACTAGATTAGTTTTTAAATTTAATTAATCAAAGTGACTGGACCAGTTCATATTTTATGTATTTACGTTTTGTACTTACACATTAATATTATTTACTTTTGTACGAATTGTTTTTATCAAAAGTATATTATTTAATTATGATATAAATGAAATTGTAAAGATATTATCGTGTCGAAACTTCCATGTAAACGTTGTAAATTTAAAATTAATAAACTTAATTTTCAATTGGCTCGCGTCATGTCCTAAAATACAGCGTTTATTGGATAATTCAATTTTTAAATTTAAAAAAAAATGAAAAATAAAATCATTATTATTTTACATTTAATACTTATTGGCTCTCAGTCGCGCGAATGATGTTCGATTTTTCTCTTGGATTTTTGCGATAAGAAGTCTAGATCTATTAAAGCTTTGATCGTGTTCACGGATTTTCCTAGCTTCATACAGCCTCCAAGAACAATATATAATCAATCAACGTTCACAATAAGTGAATTATGATAAAAAAAAAATCGCGTAATCATCCGATCGGCACCGGAAGAAACAGACAGAGAGAAAGAGAGCGAGAAAAAAAGATATCATAATAAAGTATGATCAATGGCACGCGCTGCACCTGTAGCACGTGCGAGCTGGTCTTCTCGACGACGAACACGAGGCCGGTGCAGACGACGCCGAGCACGAGCACGGTGAGCTTCATGAGCAGATCGACTCGGCGCTTGCTCAGCGGCTCGCAGGAGCGACTGGCCAGGGCCGGCTTGATGAAGTCCTCCAGGACGACGGCCGCCATCGAGTTCAGGCCGGTGGATAACGAGCTGGGAAACGAACGTGAAACATAAAATTGTTATTGCATAAATTATCATTGGCGTGTGACCTTTGTAAACGTAATTTCGTGTTTTGTAGAAGAAGTCCTTCAAGATCGTTGATTTTTTTCAATGCGGGATGATTTCTATTTACCTTCAAAGTCGATTTTCAATGCAGCTAGTTTTCAAAAAATCAGCGAATATTCTATCGAGCCGAACGAAGCCGAAGGTCAGGGGAATCACTGCTCGATCTACTGCGCATCGCGACAAATATACTCGATACAAAATGAAAGGAAAAGAAAACCGGTTGTAAATTTCACTTCACCGAGGGCGTGTATACGAAACTTCAACGTCGCATCAAATAGTCATTCTTCATTTTAATGACGTTATCGATTTTTTTTTCCTCGTAAAATGCAGTCACATTTTCCTCGTATAATCAATATACTCATCTGTCTCTCGTCGTCGAAACTTTGCGCGTAAATTAATTACGTACGTCGGTGCGGCATCTCTAATTTAAAATTATTCTAATTTTACATGGATTATGCAAAAGACTTAATTTATTTAACATCGAGCGCGAGTATAAAAAAAAAATCTCGAATGGCGATACATAAATCACTCGCTATGATTTTGTGAAGAACGAGAGAGTTCCTATATGTACCTGAGAGCTGCACTGAAAATACCAGCGACGAAGAGACCGGGTAATCCAGGAACGTCGCCGAAAATGTTCATCATGAGCAGCGGCAGCAGCTGATCCTTGGCTCTGGCGAGCTATGAAATACAAAATTCGTCCTTAAATTGCCCCTGGATTTATCGATCGGAAAATTCGTTGCGTACTTTGGTGGTGAGCGGATCGCACTCGTGGTACCAGGCGTAGACCAGCATCCCCGAGTAGGCGCAGACGCTGATCAGCATGAGGACGCCGACGATGAAGGTCCACAGTGCCCTACGTATATAGAAAACAATCGTCAATCGTTGGAAACTGTTTCGGCGATCGATCGTATTATACCTGCGGGCGTGCGCGACGGTGGGCAGCGAGAGATAGCGCTGGATCATGTTCTGATTGATGGCGGATATCTGGAGCCAGTGCACGCAGCCGCCCAGCACCAGCGACCAGATCGTGTGACGCGTCAGCGGGCTCCAGTCGGCTCTGACCATTTTTTTATTAATTCGTACGAAACATTTTTACCAAATGTCCAATTAATTGTACAAATGTAAAATTAATTGTCCATGAGTGTGAATACTCACGTTGGAAACTCGATCCTTCCGGATTCGTAATTGCGCTCGAGCACCAACGACAAGCCACCGAGATGCAAGGTACCCTTGATGACGATGAGCAGCATCGAGCCGAACATGATGAACGTCTGCACAAAGTCCGTCCATACCACTGCGCGTAGGCCACCCTATGATTATTACGTACTTTTAATTTTTTTTTCCGAGATGTCATTTTTTTTTATTTTGTCCAACAACCGACGACGATGACTTACCACGCACGTGTAGAAGATGCAGACGACGCAGACGAACGGCGTCACCACGTGTATATTCACTCCGGTAACTGTGTACGAAAATAAATTGTCGCGTATTAGGAAAATCGAAAAGATTTTATCGGATGTAATTAATTTAGTTAATTTTCGGCTACGCTCTTACTCACGATCGATTCTTTTATCACTTCGTTATTACCAAAAAAAAAAGTAGATGCGTATCGATACGCGTTTCTCGTTCGTTTTTTTTTTCCTTTTCTATTTCTTCTTCCTTCTCTGATTCACGCGCTCATTCGTTTTTATATCGAAAATTCAAAAAGATTCCTCGTGACTCCCAAATTCGAGTATATATTGTATAATAAAATAAATAAACGTCGAGAGTAACTCGCCCGTCTTCGAGTTCCGGGTAAAAAAATCCAACGAATTTTGTCATTATCATACTCGTGCGCGCGTCGATCTACGATTTTTTATTCAAGGATTGAAATTTTCTGAAATTTTCACTTCGTACCTTGATTGAAGGCGAGAGCCGGCACGTAGATGACGATCGGCAGCCACGTTATCTGTATTTTGCACACAAGTTCAGCATGTATATATAGTTGATTATAATGTGTCTATATAATATATATGAAGGTAGCTCGTGCGAGGTAGTTTATATATCGTCGCCCCAGCGCAGGAAGGTATTTATTCAAATTCTGTAGCAAGAAGGATACTTACTCGCGCGCAGAGGCAAAAAGGTATCTAACTCGAGCGCAGCGTCAAAAAGGTATCTAATTCGAGCGAGAAGCAAAAAAGTAGCTTATTCAAACGAAGTGGCAAGAAAGTTTTGACGCGCTGAATTTAGGTTGGCAACGGAGCCGTAAATGATAAAATTTTGTTTCAACATTCAACATTCAACATTTAATTCAAAGCTATATGTAAAGCTGATAACTTCTACTTTCCTTTCATAACATACAAAGTTCTCCATAAGTGGCAAACTGAGTCGAAATCACGGTGAGATTGATTTGTTTGCTCGCATTTCAAATAGATGGAACTCATTACACTAGCTCAAATGTTTTTCCTCTTTTTTGCTCTAATACAAAACAAAATTTTATCATTTACGGCTCCGTTGCCAACCTAAATTCAGCGCGTCAAAACTTTCTTGCCACTTCGTTTGAATAAGCTACTTTTTTGCTTCTCGCTCGAATTAGATACCTTTTTGCCGCTGCGCTCGAGTTAGATACCTTTTTGCCTCTGCGCGAGAGTAAGTATTCTTCTTGCTACAGCTTGGAAATAGATACCTTCCTGCGCTGGGGCGACGATATATACACGAGGATAATTGACTCGAGACGTAAAATGAAAAATTGCCCCGAGCGTGCAAAATCGGATCCGATCGGAAGTCGTATGTATACTTGGATGGTGCGCGCGCGCGCGATAATTTGGCAAACGATTTACTTGGCGCAGCGCGAGATCGGCTTGCAAGACACGTCCGTTATGCAAATCGGGGAGGCTTGATTAAGATTCTTTTTCATTTTTCTTTTAATTTTTTTTACCTCGTCTGAATCGATATCAAGTCGGTTATGCAATAAATTATTTTACTAATTATATACAACGAATTTAGTCGCGCGCAGGATGATTCAAATCCCGAACGATTCAACGCGCGCGCGCGCGTCAATTAAGCGAAATTTCTCGAGTGAGTCAACGCGCGCGTCGAGCATACAGGTTCTCGGCTTGCAGTTACTAAATTTAGTCTCTCTCTCTCGGGGCTCTCTTATGTAAGCCGTACAATGCCGATGGCGAACAGCGTGGAGCCCAGGGTTCTCATCCTCTTGTCGAATCGCCTCTCCAGGTACTCGTACGTGCTCGTCAGCTGTAGGTCGTGAAAGACCGGCAGATAGACGTTGGACATGATGAAGCCGACGAGGACGACGCCGAAGCCGATGCACAGGTAGCTCGTGCCGTGCACGTAGATCTCGGTGGGGGTGCCCAACAAAGAGATGCCCGATATGAAGCTGGCGATCAGGCTCATGGACACGGGAAAGGTGCGCATGTTGCGGCCGCCGACGAGGTACTCGTCCTCGCCGCTTGGCGCGGTGCCGCGCACGAAGCCGAAGTAGACGCCGATGCCGCCGCAGCCGAGCAGCATCGCCACGAAGACGCCGTAGTCGAGCCAGCCGAAGTGCTGCATGGACGCGATCACGTCCTCGACGCTGGGCATCGCGTCGTCCGCCGCCGCCGACGGGGGCACGACCGAGCTGCTCATGCCTTCCTTGCTCAGTTTCAGCTGTATAGCCGCCCCGAAATTTCGTCAGCTACCTGCTGAGTTTTCGCTATTATCGAAGTAAAGAAAGAACAGAAAAAATCAATAATTCCTTCTTTTGTTTTTTTTTTTTTTGGTTTTGAATAAACTCGAGAAATTGAGCTGGCATGAATCATCGTCGTCGGTCGGCACGCGTCCGCACACAACACACACACACACACACACAAGTGCCATTAAAAGACTAACAGGTTTCTGTACGAGCCAACACTTGCACGAGCGACGGAGGCCAAGGGCTGGTTAAGTCTCTCTCTCTCTCTCACTTATGCCTTTATAGCGTAACGATCATCCGTATAATTTGCGCGAGTGTAGAAAACGAGCGCGTGCATATAATAAAACGTCGCTGCGCGGAGATCACTACGGCGCGATAATGCGATATATATATATATATAAGGGCGAGAAAATGCGATCGACTCAGCGGTGGTCAATGCTGCACGGAATAATAATGTTGTATCCACGCCAGCCGCGCGTGACAGGTAGTATATGCAGAACACGATTTAACGCGAGCGCGAAACGCGCGGGTATTATATGTATATAATCATCGGCCGTGTTACAGTTGATATCTCTACTTGCTTGGCGGAACGAGCGAGCGAAGCTTTAGGCCACCAAGAGATGTACTGCACTTAGTGTCGTCGATTATGTCGTGCTATTTGCAAAAAAAAAAAAATATTATAACGATCGCGTCGATTTACCGCCCCACGATCGGTATCGGTAAACCGATTTTATGTTCTTATGTATGGCAAAGCTGTCACATTAATATTCGAGCAATTTTCACCCCGTGTAGAAATTAATGGATCTTTAATTATGCGCGGCGCGCATCGCTTATCAGTTCGTAGAAAATTCACATCGGTGCGGTCGAATTTTAACTCGACAAAAGGCTCGAAAGCACAGTATCGATTCGGTGCACGAAAACACACGACACGCCACTTGGATTCACACAGGCACCAAACACAATTAAACAATAGTAAAACGTTATTAATTCAACTTATGATAATCGATGTACCAGGAAAAATTGGCGCGGCGTATTCGGTAAGATTATCCCGCTGCCTGGTTGCGAAGCTGATCAGAAGCGATTCAGAGCTTGGTGTCGGTCAGCTCTCGCTCTCCAGCTCTAAGCCGCTCTCTCGGCCGCAGCAGGCAGTAGCGAGCGATTTTCTCGTTAAATCCAACAATGCCTCGTCGTCGTCGTCGTTGTCGTATTTTGCCAATGGGCACTATATGTTCGTCAAAACGATAGATACAGAGTCAAGCCGCGCTCGCAAGCTCTCTCGATGCCCTGCACTACGACTACTATAACTACCGCTATGTAATGTATAGTAAACGCGTCCAAAGTGGATAATCATACGCCGTTCGTGCGTTTAATAATCGCGGCCACCGCTGACTTTACACAGTGCGCACCGTGTGTGCCAAAGACGATCATCATTGTTGGCGTCACATTGCGAATCGTCGTCGTCGTCGTCGTCGTCGTCGTTGCCACATGCAGCTCATGTGAGAGCTTTATCGCCAACGAGATCTGCGGAGATAGCGCGAGTAAATAGATGAAAATACGATATAGTTCGATATACGATGCTCGTCTCGGGTTTGCAAATTAGATCTTCTATATTCTCGATTTTAACGTAGGCGTCCTTTCGTAGTTGACGTTCTCTGATTTACGTTGGACGCAGGTTCTCCTGAACTTGCAATAAGAATAATTTTGAAGCTCTTTTCTTCCCATTTTAATACCATATCGAGAGAAAAAATCGCCGCCGTTCTCGATTCAGGTATACGTGCGCGTATTTATATTCGGTCGAGTAAACACGACAAATAAATAATGCACACACGCGCTCGCGCGATATCGCGTATCGAGGCGATCGAGAAAAAAAACCGAAAGTTAGTTTACATAGTCGCACTTTTACATTTACGTTTTAGATTATTTCACTCGAGACAGACCGAAATTCTCGTAAGCGGCTTTCCTCTTTTGAAAAAATTCAAAAAGCTCCGAGCTTTTTTTCGCTCTCCGGCAATGCGTAACGAGTGAGGTAGCGTATGCGCGCTCGGGCTCGCGCTCTCGCGTGTGCGCGAATCGTATAGCGAGTGACATGTGCACGCACCAATTGAACGAAAGTTAAGCCATTTACACCTATTACGATCCAGAAATAACGAGGAACTGTTTTATACCGAGTTCTTACCGAGCTTTTTTTTTGTCGCGGGAGCTTGCGATACCGTCACGTGCGAATGAGTTACACAAAATTAACTTTTGGACTTACTTTAATTGTGAAAAATATTTATAATTTTATATCGACTTCGAGTTCTGTAATTATTACTGTAACAAACGGATTCGTGAAATTCAACATTTTTCTTTACAGCTGGTAATTCATTATTTTACTAAAAGTCGATAGTATTCCAGTTGGCAAAAATCACAATTAGCCAGAAAAAAAATTAACACCACACGATTCATTTTGGATTCCAGTTGCCGAAGGACTGCATGTGCTTCTTCATAAATTCCAATGACACCTCGGGATCGTAATCTCTGTAAAATATCGATTGATCGTATTGCTATTTAATTGACAAAATGTGTGGCCGAGGTTAAATATTTTACAATATTTTTGGGCCTTTCAAAAGATATTAGTAGAAAGAAAACGATGTATTATCTTACAAGTAATAATCTCGCATAATCCGTTCATGATAATCCATAACGAAAACTTTAAACAGAATTCCGGACGCAGCAGCGACGGCGAAGCTGATAGGAAAGTGTATTCTGAAACTTCTCAACCACAATCGTTTCAATTGCGGCTTTTTTAACTCGCATTTGCCCATTTTTTGCTTTTTTTCAATTTGAATGAAGATCAAATTAACCTTTCTTTGATGGTTATACACACTGTGACTATCTGATTGGTTACCGCTAAAGACTGCATTACGGCCACACCGTTTTCGATCATCTTTTGTTTTTTTAATATTTTTAATCAAAAGGCTTTGAATTATTACAAAGTCAAATCGAACAATGCAGAAAAGGTATAAAATAAAACGTTAAGTCCTTTTTCCAGGATAATTGAATAAAACGGTACTTATTTTTCAAAAATTATTTATTTATGAAACGTAAAATTAAATTTAACGATAGAAACCTTTCAGTATCGCAATGCAAGCATATTTTTGTATTAAAATTAGTGATATTTATCCTTCGTAGAATTTGGGCAATTTGTCGCCCATAACTACGGAGCGTTCGATGCCGTTTTCGGTTATTACGCCTATTCTGATAACTCCGCCGCTGCTTCCGTCGCGCGACATGGCGAGAGCAAGAGCTACAAGAAACAATAGTGATAATTAGTTTTTAAAAATTTTAGTGCTAGTTTTCGTGTTAATTTTTAAATGAGAAATACTTACAGTTTTTAACTAATTCAACGCATTGTTCCTTATCCATACTAGGCTTGTAGTTGGCATCGACGTAGCCATAAATGTAACTGGATCCAGAACCACCGATGGAAATTGGTTGTCTAACGCACATACCTCCTAGAGGAACACTGTACACTTGACCTCCTTTGTATTGGTCCCAGCCGGCGACCAAAATGCCAGCCATCAGAGAGTCACGATAATTATAACAAAGTTCCCTAAATACATTTGCAGCTGTTTCTACCCTAGGTTCTGTACCAAGCTCCATTCTAGAATTATAATTTAATGATATTAAATAAAAATTGTAGTTAGATTATTTACAAAGTATAATGTATTAAAAAATTACCTGTGAAAAGCTAAGTGATAGTTAACAATATCTGATATAGCTTGTGTATCAGCGGATGATCCAGAACGACAACAGTATATGTAATCTGTGACTTTGGTTAGCTTGTCAGCTACACGATTAGCAACATAAGCTCTGTAATAAAAGTATTTTATAATAAATCATGCTAATAATAGTTTTTAATTTGAATAATATAAAGAAAGGCTTGAAGTAGCGTACCCAGTAGTTGAACGTGAGTCAGCTCCAATGACAACTCCTCCATTAAATTCGCATGCCATAATTGAAGTCTGTGTATAAAATAGAAAGATTTACTTTAGCTAATGTATAATCGATAAAATAATTTCATTACAATGTCTGAACTAATAATCAACAAAAAGGTCATTGACAAGTGTGTATATACAAAAAATATACACTGTAGTTTGCAGCGTCATTCTAACCTTCTGTCAATTCGGCATTTGTTGAAAATAAAAATACGAGGCCAACTTACACCGGTGCTGTGCTCGGCGTGCTGCCAGTCCGGGTACAGCAGACCACCCATGGGATTGACGCCCGAGATCCTCTGTTCGACGGCCATTATTTTGCAGGGTTTATGAACGATCCAACGAGAAAAACTTTTGCAATTTTCTATGCCGACGAGTGACTATCGAATTTCGGCAAAATAATCCACAGCAGCACAGTCACAGTGTGTGTCTGTTTTCGAGACGCTTGGCTCCCTCTGCATGGATAGTTCGCAAAGTATCATCAATCGCGCGGACGGCGGCGGAGAACGGAGCAGCAGACACATAAGGTGCGTTCACGGCCGAGCGCGAACCAAAATACATGTAAAAATCGTGCGAGATCTCAAGTCCGTACTCGAAACAGACCTTATATTGTTACACATAGACCCGCCGCCGTATAGTTTGACGTGCAAAAGTGCATTTACAATTGAATGCATCGATATCGTCGCGGTGTGCTCGCATAGGTGCCATGCATGCTGTATGTACCATGCGAACGCGACAACATTCCAGTCCTGTTGCTGCTCTATATACAGCAGCAGTGTCACGTGATCGCCGTACAGTCGCAATTGGCTGCTGCGATCTCTCCGCAGCTCGTACACAACACACAACGTCGCTAATCTGAATTTTCTCGCTTAACGAGAGAGAGAGAGAGAGAGAGAGAGACTCATGGATGCGCTCGTGTGTGCGTGTGCAGCAGCGGCATATAAACGTCGTTTTATACTCTTGCTTTTTACGCATTAATGCACACACACACACACGCACACAAGACAAAAAGTGACTATACTAGGCAGGCACGAGACCCGCTGCTGCATGTGTACTCGTTCACGCACTGTTTGATAATATGTTTTTCATTTAATAATGCGCGTAGTTGCATCTCGATGTAGCATTCGTGCATATTTTGCATTTTTTTTTTTTTTTTTTTTCAAGATCGCGACGGTCACGAACGCATGGTTGAACTGTCAACCGCAGCGATTCTTATTGCTTTTTTTTCAACTCGAAATTCATCGAATGGAAAATCGTGTTTTTCGCCTCGTTGCTTCGGTGTGCTTTATTTTCTCGAGGTTTGACGAGATTTCAACGCTGACAGCTCAAGTCATTTTTCCAAGTATTTTGCCTGAAATTCCAAGTCTATTCGACTTACAAGCCCACAAAATTCGATCTTTGACAAATCGAAGTTTTGAATTTTTGCGTCGCACTCGTATGTGCAAACTCGCTGCAAAATCCGCGAGCGAGCCCATACAGTAGCGGCTGCGTGCGGCGGGGCACCCTCTCGTGGTCTTAATTCGCGTGAATAATAAGAGTTCGGAGTCGTCGTCGTCGTCGTCGTCTCGAAATCCCCCTACTTTTGCGCGAGCACTGCTCAGCTCGCTAGTATCATCCACTCAGTGCTTCTGCTATCATCATGGTATCGAGGTTAAAGCCATGCGTTTCGAGAGTCTTTTTGCGCCAGGCAGCGACTAAATAAATAATGGATTAAACCGAGCGGAGCAAAAGGCGTCCCCATCGTCCGTGCGCGCGTGTGTGTCTGTGCGGGTTGAAAAAACTTCGGCTCGGCTGGGACTCTCAGCTGTGTTGTTAATCTCTGCGTCTCGCGCTCTCGCTCGGCCAACGAAACCTTACTATACAGTGCGGGCTAGCTAGGCCTGTGTGTTTTCTTCCTTTAATTTTTTTTTCTTTTTTTTTTTTTTCAATTTTTCCACCTGGTGACGAGGCGCGCTCTACTCCGCATCTCGCATCTCATCCGTGTGGTGTGCTATATAATATATATGCATAGATATTGAGCAAGTGCGAATCCCGGAGTTTCGGAGTTTTTTGACTACTACTACTACTACTACTACTACTACTACTCGCAACGGGGAACCCTACTCTCTCTTTCTCTGCGCTCTGCGTATTATGTGTATAAAGCGACGACGAACGTGCGTATAGATGCTGAGCTCGGTTGAAGCCCAGAAGTCAAGTCCGATCCACCTGCCTGTCTATGCCTCGTCCTACCCGCGTTTTCGTTTGTCCTCGTTCTTTTCTTCTTCCTTTTCCTCCTACTCCTATATGTCCCAGACTGCAAGATGTTTCCCTTGCCCATGTCAACAGTGAGCGACGTGTCTAGCTATGATTTCGAAAAAGATGAGAACGCTGCCAAATGGAAAGGAGTGTTTGTCAACTCACTTAAAAAGGTGCGTTTTGTTTTCCATACAGCATTGTTGGTACACAACATAACAGAGAAAAATAGTATATGTTTCGATGCACAATTATGTTTTGCGGCATGTATAAAAATACACCTGTCAACTCAAAATATTACAGGTCCTCGAACAAGTGCACCCAAGTCTAGAAGCACGTCAAGATGCCCTAGACTATGTAGAAAGTCTCATTTTGAGGCTGCTGGGTATGCTATGTGGACATCCAGCTCCTCACACGCCACAAGATGTGGAAGAGCGAGTTGGTCGCACCTTTCCTACTCCCATTGACAAATGGGCATTAAAAGACGCTAGAGACGCTTTAGAAAAAGGCAAAAAGAAATCTCCATTAGTTTTGCCGGTTGAAAAAATACATCAACTTTTGCAAAAAGTAAGATTTTTTGTCTTAAATTAGTAACAAAGAATGCTTTCATGAATCATTTACATTGGAAACGTATTTAATTGTTTGCAACTATTCAGTAGTTGAACATTTTAATATTATTACTGAATGTTGTGCATGTATTGTTTGTGATTCATCGCAGTAAAATTGTTGTGGAAGCAATAATTAACTAATTGAAAATATTTTACAGGAGGTATTACAACAAAAAGTTGACTATCAAGTCGCACTTTTTATTACAGGAGTTTTAGAGTATATTTCTGCTGATATATTAAAGGTTCATACTTTACTTGTCTTTTATCTTGAAATTATTTACAAACATATTAACGAAATTGTTTACTTCAATAGCTTGCTGGAAACTATGTTAAAAATATTCGCCTAGTTGAGATTTCCTATGAAGATATCAGAGTTGCCATGCACGCTGATCTGGTTTTGATGGACATGTTTCATCAAGACGAAGTTATTGAGGGTGCCCAAACTAGTTTAAGTACAGTTGTTTCTCAAACATACGAAGAATCAGTTCGTGATCTCATTCAAGATGAGCGTCATTATTTACGCGATTTGCAAATGATAATAAAGGTAAGATCCATACGAAAGATTAGTTTTTCTGGAAAATAAAAAAGGAGCTAAGGCGATTATTAAAAATTGTGATTCATCCCGTTTATCAGGTTTTTAGAGAAGAAATTTCAAAACTCACAAACAAAAATGAATTTGAAGCACTTTTCAGTAATATAATGGACATTTACGAGACCACAGTGAGTCTGTTGGGTAGTTTAGAGGACGTCATAGAAATTACAGCAGAAAAACAAACGCCTACCGTAGGCACTTGTTTCGAAGACATCGCCGAAGGGGAAGAATTTGACGCTTATACAAAGTACGCACTTGAAAATAATCACAGATCAATCCGATCTCGATGATACTAATGACATTTTGACTTTAGATACGCGAGCGAAATATGCAGCCCAGCCTGTCGAGAAGTTCTGACCAGGCTGTTGGCCAGGCCCGACGCCAACGCGGCATTGCGAGCTGCCGGTCATGGCTTCAAGGAGGCTGTAAAATACTACTTGCCAAAACTTTTAAAGCAACCGATCTGGCATTGCTTTTTATATTATGACTACATAGGGGTAATTTACATTGCAATTAATAATTACCGCGCTTCGATTATCAAACTTTGTATTAATCCGAATCGCTCGTCGAATTTCAGTTCCTTAAACAGAAGACTCCTCACCAAGAAGACTCCGAGATTCTCGACCAAGTGCAAGGTCTGCTCAGACCGCTGGTCATTCAGTTGCAAGAAATTCTGGACAATCACAAGATCAAACGCGACAGCAGCTTACGAATGCAGAGCCGAGCTCGTAGGCAGGCGGCGCTCGAAAAAACCAGTGACATGCAGAGAATCGTCGATGGATGGGATCAGAAAGACATTGGACAGTGTTGCAATGAATTTATCAAAGGTGAGGAAGTCGAGCGATTGGATATAGAATCGAGCTTGAGGGGAACAGCCTGATTTACCGATGATTCGTTTCGTTTCGATTAATAATTTTCAGAGGACACTTTAACGAAAGTTGGGAACGGCCGAAGACTGACAGAGAGACGAGCACTGCTGTTCGACGGTTTACTGGTGCTCTGTAAGCCCGTGAGTAACAAAAGGCCCATAAGCATGAGCGTGGGCACGACCAATCATTCCGCTCAGGGTGAAATCCAGTTGCGGCTCAAGGAGCGCTTTTTCATTCGAAAAGTCGACATTATCGACCGCGAAGATACCGACGGTATGAAAACCTTTTTGCATCGTATTTTTTTGGCCGCTAAAATTCATTTAACAACGTGAATTATTTATACATACACGCAGAACTCAAGAACGCGTTCGAGATAGCACCCAGAGATCATCCGAGCGTGATTCTGGTCGCCAAAACAGTGGAGGACAAGAACAGCTGGATGGCTGATCTAGTGATGCTCAATACCAAGAGTATGCTCGAGCGTACTCTCGACAGTATACTGCTGGACGAGGAGAGGAAGCACCCCTTGAAGCTGCCGCCGCCGAGCGTGTACAAGTTCGCGGAGCCCGACAGTCCAGCCAACATCGTGGTCGAGGCGCGCGAGAACGGCGGCGTGCCTCTCATCAAGGGCGCGACCCTCGTGAAACTCGTCGAGCGTCTCACCTATCACATTTACGCCGATCCGGCCTTCGTTAGGACGTTCCTCATCACTTATCGGAGCTTCTGCTCGCCCCAGGAACTGATGACCCTGCTGCTGGAGAGATACACGATACCCGAGCCCTCCAAGATATTCAACGACGACGAGGACCGGCCCTCGAGCGGCGGCTGCAAGTCCATACCGCGCGAGGACTTCAAGCGCTACCGCAAGGAGTTCCTGCAGCCCGTCAAGTTTCGCGTGCTCAACGTGCTCCGCCACTGGGTCGATCATCACTTCTACGACTTCGAGAAGGACGAGGTGCTGCTCAAACGCCTCTACGACTTCTTGGCCCTGGTCAACGATCACGGCAAGACCATGAGGAAGTGGGTCGATTCCGTCATGAAAATCGTCCAGAGGAGAAAGGGCGAGGGGCCGCTGGAGTCGCGACCGATCACCTTCAGCTTCGAGCGCTCGCCGCCGCCGATCGAGTGGCACCTGAAGGTCACCGAGGACGAGTGGGGCATTTTAACGGTACGAAAAAAATACTTTCAACGCAGGTGCGCAAGATTTTTTCTGAAGGTAAATGTACCGAGAAGTGAACGGTACCAACGAAATTGTTGATACTGATCGGTGGTGGTACATTGTATCTGTCTTGATTCTTGTTGTGTCTTTTGATATTTACTTATTTTTCGATTTGTGAGAAATTTCAAATTTTCATTGCTCTTGTTTACAGTTGCACCCTGTTGAAATAGCGAGACAATTGACACTGCTCGAATTCGAACTGTACAGAAACGTGAAACCGTCGGAACTCGTGGGGTCCGTGTGGACAAAGGAAGACAAAGAGAGGACCTCGTTTAATTTATTAAAGATGATAAAACACACGACGAACGTAAGTTTTCGATGAATAATTCACGATTCCCGTCGATCCCATCGATCATTTCGATAATCGGCCGAATTTTTTCGACAGTTCACGCGGTGGTTGGAAAAGACGATCGTGGACGCGGAAAACTTCGACGAACGCGTGGCCATTGTGTCGCGCGCCATCGAGATCATGATAGTTCTGCAAGACCTCAACAATTTCAACGGCGTACTGGCGATCGTGAGCGCCTTCGGCTCCGCGTCGGTCTATCGTCTGAACCTGACGATGCAGCAGCTGCCGAGCCGCCTGTACAAGGCCCTGCAAGAGGCCACCGAGCTCAACATCGATCACTTCAAGAAGTATCAGGACAAGCTGCGCTCGATCAATCCGCCCTGCGTGCCCTTCTTCGGCATGTACCTGACCAACATACTGCACATCGAGGAGGGCAACTCGGACTTTCTGCCCGACGGACACCTGATCAATTTCAGCAAGAGGCGCAAGATCGCCGAGATCATCGGCGAGATACAGCAGTACCAGAACCAGCCCTACTGTCTGTCCGTGGAGCCGCGCATACGCAAGTTCATCGAGTGCCTGAATCCGTTCGCGCCCGACATGAACGACGCCGACATCAGCACGTATCTGTACGAGCAGAGCTTGAAGATCGAGCCGCGCTCGTGCAAGCAGCCGTACAGGGCGCCGCGCAAGTGGCCCGAGCTCAATCTCAAATCGCCCGGTATTAAAATCAGAAATCTAAGCGGTAAGTTGCCATCGCTGCAGGCAGTCGCGTCGACCGTGCGCTTGCACGACACGTCCGCCAGCAAAGATCAAGAGCCTCAGGATCAACCTGAAACTCCGCCTCACGCTGCGAACGTATCCGCGACCTCCAGCGATTACAGTGTCTTTGCTCCGGTTTTACTTGGAGGTAAGTAGGGCAATGCAAGGCAAGCTGAAACCTGATCGCGCGCACTCTGCTTACGCACGTTTATCGCTTTTTTGACCAACGACATGAGTCGCAAAAAAATTTGCTATTGTTTTTTTTTTCAACTTGAAAAATGACGATGGTGCCAACTTGCTCTACACTACCCTACGTTATAATCCAGTACGACGTATCTAAAAAATTAATGCCGTTTATACTCATCTCAAATAAATACGAAAATATAATTCGGAACTTTTTACAGCAACGTCGCCTGGTCCTGCGTTGAGTATGTCGACGTTATCTCTGAGTTCGCCCGGCAACAGTCCTCAGTTACCCTCGCCTGGCCACCTGTCGCAATCGTTCTCCAGCGGCGGATCCGCCGCGACGCAGTTCGGTTTCAATTCGAGCACGATCAGCGTCATGAGCAGCACTCTGGCGTGCTTAATGCCGAACTCGTCGTTGAGCAGTCCCGGCCCCACCTCGGCTCCTTCCGGCCAATCTCAGATCCAGCAGCAGCAGCAACAACAACAACAGCAGCAGCAGCAGCAGCAACATCAGCAGCAATGCCAGCAGCCCAATTCACCGGGTCTACTGTCGCATTACGGCGGGATTCCGGAGCAGCCGCCGCCACCCCTACCGCCGAGGACCCATCGTCGGCGCGATAGCGGCTACAACGAGTCACCGCATCAGGTATATATCATTTTTATACTTGTAAACACTGTTGCAGCTCGGAAGGAGAAAAAACGATCGATTGATTTTTTTTGTGTTAGGCTCGACAAGTTCCCAACGCGCCAATGCTGCCACCTCGGGAAGGGGTGTCGCCGCCGCCCTTACCTCCGAGACGAGACATTTCCTCATCGATGCGTTTGCCGCAGACATTCAACCCGAGTAGCTCGACGCTATTGGCTAGGCGAAATTCTACTTTGGACAATCAGCTGCCTCTCAATCAGCCGCCGACACACTCGCGCAGACACATGTCGTTCAACGGACCAAGCCCGACGAAGCCATCGCCTGTGCAACCTCCGAATGGTTTGTGGCCTACTTAAAAAATTTTTTGTCCCATCGTGAGTTTTTTTATAATAAAAAATTATTTCAGGATCGATAACTCCACGTTTACCACCGAAACCGCAAATACCGGGAAGATCGTCCAGTACGATGTTTAATTTCAATGCTCCACCAGGTCCTAGCTAATACAGTTTCATTGGTGTACAGATTTATCACTACGAGTCAAGCTCATATTTTTATGGAAATATGATGAAACTTGGTATGAAATGCGCCATTCCTAGTCCGAAAGAAGCGTGCGATAAGTCACTCAATCACGTGATAGCCGGATTAATGTTAATATTAGACTGCCTCGACTACTTATTAATGTGGTTTGTGCGTAATTGTAAATTTATTCATAATAACAAATTTCACGCGGGTGTACATGTGAACGTATGTTTGTCTGGATCCAAATTTCGTATATATAAATATTATATGTACATATTATATATAATATGCATTATGTGTAGGGTTATACAAATACGAATAAGAACCAAGTGTGTGTAAGTTTTTTGTCTGTATAAAACAAGTTTCAATCGATTTTAACGTGTGTTACGTCTGATGTTTGTTGATGTTACGAGCTTACTTCCAAGTCGCCAATCTGTGATGTTTGTCAAGAGCGTGAGTGCATTTTCCTGTAAAATTTGATCGACCGTTAATTGCGAGAAATGTTTTCATTACATTCCATTTGCGTAAAACGTTTCATCGTAGCCGTGTTGACCTCCGATGAGTTTTTGATTAAATTTTTTTAGACTCTTAAAAAGTCAATGTTTGTAGGTCATTTTTATTATTCTATAATATACAATATCTATTTTTAGATACTTTTTTAAGTCATTGAATTTTTTTGTACATGATGAAATTTGTATATAGAGATTTATAAAAAAAAATGAAATTTAATATTGTGTATGTTTATTGATGATTATAAACCGATAGAATAAAGTTATTTTGTGAAACCATTATAAAACCTGAAAAATACGGAATCAGTATATTTTAATGCAAATAATGCAACAATGGATTTATATGATTTTATTAATGTATATAATAAATTGTATGAGATGCAATAATCATCAAAAGAAGGAAAAGGAACGATACAATTTTCATAAATTTTTGATCTTATCATTATTTCTATAACTATGGTCTTTCAAGCAAATAGATATTGCATAAAAGTTGTTCATTGTAAAAAGTCTATGTTACATCTAAATTTTGTAATATTATAAGGAAATACTACTATTGTGAGTACTGTTAAATCATAAAAGAATAATTAATCAATTGAACGATTTGGTTATTCGCATCAGTGTCTGTGTATTTTAAATAAAAAATTGCAAAGTCTCGTACAACTGGCGCACAAATTGTATTTGACTAAAAAAATTTTATTCGACATTTAATTTTAATTTTACTACCCCGAACGTGAAGAACTGAATGTGTATATGGATAACAAAAATGTCATATAATAGAAGGATAAATAGTTGGCTCAGCCAACGGCATAAGATTAACACAATAATTACAATTTAATATCAATTATAATGATATTAATGTGTGTTGTATACGTGTAGTTTATAGTTGATATTGACTTTGTCTTTCCTTGGCTGGTCCATTGGCTACGTTAGAAAATTACTCAATGGAAACGAATCATAATCATTCGTATAACGATACTTTTTCCAAGTCTTTATTTTATTTGTAAAATGCGTAGATTTTTTTGATATTATTTCTATTTTTCCAAACCAAACTGTGATACATTCATTAATGGCTAATTGCTAGTTATTGTTATATTAATATCAATATATAAAATTATTAATAATATGAATAACAATAATGCTGATCATACCGATGATGCACATTGGTAACAGTTTGTATAAGTTATATATGGTGTAAATAATATCGGGCTTCATTTGTACTCATATTCAAATGGACTATATTGTGAATGAATTGAACACGAAAAAATCATTTCTTCAATTTTGGATAATGCATGATGGTATGTTAGTTATAAATACTCTATAAAAAAGAAGATATATGCTTATCGGATCGAATAAGATAAATGAAAGATGGATTGAATAAGACACACGAAAAAAATGAAAGAAACGCAAAAGTTTATGTTGTCCTTCGTAATTTTTTGTTTTTTATCTTTCGTTTATTTTTACATTTTATAATAATTAAACTGTATGCTTTTTTTCCAACATTAGATTCTGGCAACGATTTATTTTTTATTTTTTTATATTCATTTATTTAAAATCAAAACTTAACATATTACTACTGTACATTTTTAATATTGTGTTTTTAATAACAGAGCAACATTGATTTCATAATGATTCTCTGACAACTCTTAAGATTAAATTGATTAATTTTTTTCTTTTATCAATAATAATATTGACTAGCCTAATAAAAACATTTTTGTTTAGTCATTTGGTGTTGCTTTTGGTCATTTATCACAAATTTCTTCCAAGAAACTCGATTTTTATTCAAAAATTTGTTTTAAATCTACACGAAAGTATATGTTATTATTTCAACGATCTAAATATACGAATTCCAATTTTTACGTTTTCAAGTGCCCTTTCGTTTATTAGCAAAAGAAAAAAACAAATTTATACATGAGAGAGAAAGAAAGAGAGAGAGAGAGAGAGAGAGAGAGAGAAAGAAAATGAGAGATAGAGAGATTGAGTGAGACCAACAGAGTTCAGTACTATAACTCAAGTACGATGTAAATTGTTGTAAATATTATTTTGTCGACGGCTAAAAATAATACTAAAAAAAAATAATAATAAAGATTATATTGTGTAAGCAATTACTAAAAGCGTTTCTCTACTAAGTTCCTCGTAGTGAATCGTTCAACTATACATTAAAAATATAATCAATTTATCGATTTAAGATCGATGATGATTTCTACGTATAGCTATTATTTACATCGAATAACATCAAACTGAATCTTTGGTGATTGTCTAAATATTTGCTCTAAACAATTGTTCTAAGGTGCGTTGCTTGGGTGGGTGAAATATATATTATGCTCGCCGCGATCGGTATTTCCGCTATACTCCAAATAACGACACTATCTATGCTACCACCTAAATATCGTAATAATCTCGTACGGCTACGTTATGTCGATCGAATAAAAACTATAGCCATCACATGATCGCGCATCGCTCTATACAGGCATCAAAAATAATGTCACGTACCTATCCCTAGTAGTATATTATGATAATTTATCGATCGATTGCGTGTGCATATAAAAGACACGTTACGATTTGAAATAAAAACGAAATGCAAGTCACTTTATCGAGAGTTCGATTATTGTCATATTTTTTTTTTTTTTTCAAAACCACGTGTTAAAAATCACTGCATCTCGTAGCACTTGGCCCTGCGACGACGCGACGCGGAGTCCTCTAGGTCGGCCTCGATTATTCTCGCTGCCCAGAGCAGCCTCGAGCCCCGCACGACGTCTCAGTGCACCTCCCAGACGGTGGCGCCGTCGCTCGCCGGCTTGTTGCTGTGCTGCGAGCCGTGTCGCGGCAGCGTGACCTGCTGCGGCAGCGCCGGCACGTCTATGTGCGCGTCCAGTCCGTCGCTGAGTTTGCTGAAGCGCCGCATCCAGCTGCCGCGACTCCCGGTGCCGCCGCCGCCTCCGACGCCTCCGCCTCCGGCGCCTCCACCAGCGCCACCCCCGTTGAGACTGACCTCCCTCAGCACGGACATGACCTCGTTCTCGTGCTCGCGGCCCTTGACTCCCTTCTCGTACTTGGCCTCCTGGGCCAGTAGACGCTCGCGCGACAGCTGAGTGGCCAGGGAGCGCGGAGTCGCCGGGATGATGTAGCTCATGCAGCCCGTGAGGGCGAACACGACGTGCTCGAACACGACGACGAAGGCCAGCCGGGCGGCGAACACGTGCCAGTACTGCGGGCTCAGCCCGTAGGGATCGTTCGGATGATCGGGACCGTTGCGGTAGCCACGATACTGACAGGTGGGCGGCTGGCGCAGCATGTCCTCCTCGTTGCGCATGTCCGACGTGTAGTGCGACGTGTTGAACTCGGACAGCGAGCTGTCGATGTAGCCCACGAGATCCTCGCTCGGCGAGTAGACGTACGAGTAGACGGTGCGCGGGATGAAGTCCGACGTGTAGGCGATCACGAAGGCGTTCGAGACCACCGCGGCGTACGTGATGCCCTTGAGGATGCCGTACCAGGCGCCGATGTCCTCCACCCGCTCGGCCAGCGGCCGACGAGCCTCCCTGGTCATCTTGTAGGCGTCCAGACGAATCTCGGCGATGTTGTTCAGCAGAGCGAAGAGCGGAGCCAGAGGGAAGGCCGCGACGAACAGGGTGACGAAGCCGTATTGGATTACTAAGATAGGGGAGAGAGAGAGAAAAGCGAAGACGAGAATTGAAAAATTGTCGGATCGAATCCTGAACGGATACAATGAAATGTTAAGATTGGTGCAATTTTCTGAAGATTTCTGATCCCTACGAGAATCGAGGGTCCAAGATCCGAACCTTTGATTTCAGTTTTAAAAAAGATTTTGAAAAGTTTATACAATTTTTATAAACATTTTGTCTGGAAATTTTAGGTCATTTTTAATTCGAATTAAAAACTGAGCTTAAATGTAGAAAAATATTATGAAGATTTCAAATTTACAAAAGTTTCATTCGACTAAAAGTTCCAGCTTGTAAAGAAAAATCATTTGTAACTTTTTGTCAACTTTTAAAAGCGTTTACACGTGTCCGAAATTCCACCTTTTATTCAAGTTTATAAAAGTGTATAATTATTTTTAAAAGTTTGCACATTTCACCAGAGAAGAACTATGAATTGTAATTACCATTTCTTTCATTAGCAAAACGCAATAAAAAGTAATGAAAAATTAAAACAGAGTAGGAAAAGCGTATCGCGCGTCAAAAATCATTAGTAGACTTACAATTTTCCGTACTTTTTTGTACTTGTTATTACGACTCGCAACATCGTTACATTTTTCATAAGGAAAATAATTGTTAGCCGGACTATGGATTCTTGCAAAAAAAAAAAAAAAAAAGAAAAAATAAATAAAATAAAATTCAATAAAAATGTCCCTCGCAACAGTTACACAAACAATTATTTCTCTTAATAAAATATGCAACAATATTGTGGAACGCAATAAAAAGTAAAGAAATGTAAAAAAATGTTAGACTTACTAATGAACTCGAGCACGTCGTACTTTTACTTTTTATTGCGTTTTATCGCGCTCATATTTATTTTTCAATTTTCCAAAGTGTTTCATAGTTACAAACAATTATTTTATATAATCCACACATCGGAGTGCGATAATAGGTAATTGACTCACTCATCTCGAGATACTCGTCGAACAGCGCCAACCTGCCTGGATCCTGCAGCTGATAATCAGTCTCCCAGCTGGTGTAAGGCCTCGACTGATCCCTCGTGGCCGCCTTGTGGCTTCTCTTCCGCCACCAGTTCCACATCTTCGGCGACAGTATCTCCACGAAATTGTTGAAGACCTGCTTGCCGATCATGATGATGGCCAGCTGTATGCAGACCTCGGAGAGGCAGCCCGAGGCGTCGCACACGTCCGTCCTGATGCGATAGAACTCGGAGGCGCGCGAGTCGCGATCGCCCGGGTGCACGTAGAAGCGGCCCTTGAAGAAGGCTATGTAGATGAGGGACGAGTAAAAGTTGACGAACTCGAAGAAGAAGATCTTGAAGGTGAAGCTCGACTCGTACTCGGTCTGCGTCCTCGGATTCTCCAGATTAACCATCCACCTGGCCAGCTTCTGATAGATGCGCGTCAGTATCATGATGATGATGAGATTGATGAAGGCCGCGGTGAGCGAGGTGAAGATCTTGGCGTGGCGCTTGAGAAAGTAGCCGCCCCCGTGGAACACCGCCACCAGCGAGATCCTGTAGATGATGGTGCCGAGGACGGCGCCGAGCACCACGCATATCATGAACAGGACGATCGAGCCGGTGGCGATGTAGCGCATTGTCCGCGACCAGACGGGCAGGTAGGGCTCGCGCTCGCGCGTCACCGGATTGATGCGGAACGTCTTGACCGAGGCCTCGAACTCGGGCCTGGGCTCCTCGTCCACCTCGCCCTTGGTCATGTCCCACTCCCAGGCGAGGACTTGCTGGCGACGCTTCCACATCTCGAGGAATGTCGTGGCTGCAAATACATCGATGAAATTGTAATGTAATTTCTTGATTTAAGATCTTGATGTACGATTGTCGATATTGTATAAGTTCTTACGTGAGAACTGGTCGAGCTCGAGTCTTTAATGAATATGGGAGTAAATTTTTGCGTAAAAACTTAAATATTAACTTACTTATGAATTTACATAAGATCTCGTGTAAGATTTTGACGATAAATATTGGCAAATTTTTTTTTCTAGATAATAATTTGCTTTTTTGTCAATATCTTTGAGGAAGATATCTTACTTAAAAATTTTTACTGCTGATGATTATATGTAAGAATACATGGGAGTAGAATCTTGTATAAGATTTTGATGAAAAAAAAATCGACAAAAAAGTGATTTTTCTAGTGAACACTTCCAAATTTTGTATACGTCAATATCTTTGGTGAAGATCTTACGTAAGAACTTTTATAATCGATGATCATGTGTAAGATTTAACGTAAGATCTTTTATAAGTTCGTATTTAGAAATCTTTGGGATACCTAAAACATTTATAATAATAATAATAATAATCAAATAAAATGCTTACCCCAAAAAGACATGAAAATGGCGAAAAACACCGTGGACGGATTATCGAAGAGATAAGTCAATCTCGCGAACAGACACGAGTCTCCCAGCTTCGTGTAGGGACAGGCCTTGTCGCAGAGCGGACAGATGGTGATGTTGCCCGCGAGCCTCGTGTCGCAGATCTCCTTGCTCGGCACGTTGTCCGCGCCGTCCATGCTGCCCAGACCGTAGAAGAAGCAGAGCAGGCCGACGATCGCCGGCGGATACAGGGCGCGCGTGTAGAAGCCCAGCCAGGCGAAGTACAGGCCGACCTTCTCGCCGAAGTAGCGCTTGACCAGCCAGAGGGGCTGCTTCTTGTACCACTGGGCCGGCCGGGCCCAGATCAGGTAGAGCAGGTAGCGGTCCAGCACCTGGCCGCTGCTCGACGGCTTGTTGTAGGCGCCCTCGTGCAGCGGATAGCAGTCGACGTAGGTGCCGTCGGCCAGCAGACGCCTGATGCCCGACTTTTCGTGCACCTCGTCGTATCTGGCCCTGAGGAGGATCTGCATGACGATGAGCGAGCGCTGGGCCGGGGTGAAGGCCGTGTCGCGATCCTTGACGACGAAGCGCTCCTCGCGATCGCCCGTGTCCGTGCTCGCGTAGAAGCTCGGCTCGTCCGGGTAACGGCTCGTGTCCCACAGGTGAAAGCTGCGAAACCACTCGATGCCCCGGGTCCAGGCGCGCTTCCAGCCCCGCTTGCTCTTCATCTTGGCGTTCTCCTCGTCCCAGGCTTTGACGGAGATCGTGATGAAGCGCTTGCAGGGCAGCTTGAGATTCATCACCTCGGCGTACTGCACCTTGACCTTCCAGGGTATGTGCAGCTTGAGGAAGTACGTCTTGCCGTCGAACGACGTCTCCTTGGACTCGAGCTCCAGCTGCAGGCCCTCTTTGAGGAGATTCTGCTCGAAAACGCGGCGCTGCTCGCGATTGCGCGCCTCCTGCTCGGTCATCACGCCCTCGCTCTCGTCCCGGTAGACGAGCACCATGTCGATGCGTCGCCGGCCATCTCTGCGTGTGACACACACACACACACAAAAAGGACAAAAAAATTGCGCGTAATTTTAATTCGCTTTATTGTATCGTATATATTGTATTATATGTAGCGGGACGAGTAAATATGTGCGAGCTTGGTGGCGCATTATATTAGTATATAGAGCCCCTCGCGCGCGTACATATAGGCATGAATAGATAATGATCGATGTGCCTTTCCATGTGCAGCGCGATCGATGTGTGTGCCGCAACGCGAGAAACGCCACGTCTCTCTCTATATGTATATATATCGAGACTACCGCGATTTGTATATTTAGAGATAGCTGTGACATTTGTCCCCTTTTCCCCGTGTAATAATTGCACATCGCGACAAAAAGAAAAGCCACAAGAATCGGGTAGTCTTGTAGTCCAAGGGTTGCGGGTGTGTGTGTGTCCTAAGGTGGCCGTAGTAGCTTTTATCCCTATTTATATAATAATAACCGGAGAGCTATAAGCTGGCTCATTGATAATTCATCGTTCGCCAGCAGCAGTCGTGTGTAGCTTTTAAGGTAGCGATACACGTAATGTGTAGCTTTTTCGTAACACTTTGCACGGCGTATTTTTTTAGCTCTACTTCGTATAAGATAATTTGCCTTTTTTTTCCCCTCAAGTTCGCGCTGCGCAACGTGCATAATTCGCGAAAAAAAAATAATAATAATTCGTAACGACACTGACCGGAAAAATAGAGTGTCCCACTCGAAGTCGTTGGGATAGCTGTCGTCGGCTTTGGCAGTGTCCGCCGCGGCGGCGGCTGCGGCAGGCCCGAGCAGAGCCGAGGCCGTCTGGCGCAGCCCACCCGGGCCATGGTGATGATGATGATGATAGTCCGAGGAGGAGGAGCCGGCGGTCTTGTCGTAGTCCCCGAGGCCGCCGTCCTCGTCCCAGCCGCCGGGAAATATCGTGGCTTGAGAGCCCGACAGGGAATTGTCCTGCGAGGGGCCGCCTTGTACCTTTGGACCTGCGTGCAGAGACACACGCGCGATATATAATTAATGAAAAATCGTTAATCATTAATGGTCGAGGCTTCGATTTCTCCCTGATTTCCTTCGTACCGGAAGCAGAAGACATGATCGCGTTAAGTAGTCGACGAATCCCGACATGTTTCGCGCTGTCCCGAATCGAGCCGCCGCTTCAACGACAGTAGTAGTGGCAGTAACAGGTTGTATAACGAGCTGCGGCCGACGACGCGACGAAGAAGAAGCGGCGACGACGACGACGACGACACGGGCGACCTCGCCATCGCGCGGCACTTTCGCTACTGTGCACCGCGGCCACCCCTGCGACGGGGATTACACCACCTCGGGCTGTGCGCCTGAGCTTTAACTTCTCTCTCTCTCTCTCTCTCTCTCTACCTGTCTCTTGCTTTATATATTTCATTACCATATTTTTCCGTTTTTTTCTCTCTCTCTTTTTATTATTAGCGAGTTCATTAACGCGAGTGTGGGTGGGTCGGTAGATAGCATAAAGACGACGACGACTATAACTATCGCGAGAGGGTCTATAAAAGTGGGAGGGCTCTATGTACCCTCTATATCGGCATATAACGCAAGGTACCCCCGAAGTTATTTGTATAATACGCGCGTGCGATAAATGCCTTTAAAAGCGTAACCTGCGCGCGCGCCCCCCCGTCATCGGATTATTATTTTGGCCCGGGACACGCGACGGGGTAAGCAAGAAAAAAAATGTGTAAAAAATAGCCGCCGAGTGGAAGATAACCGCGACGCGTCGCTGTGCAGTAGTAGCGGGGCGCGGTGCATCGTATCGATGTTGCAGCTCGTATACAATTGTATACGGCAATTAAAAATACACAAGCGGCTCGCGGTGCTTGCGCGCGCGCGCGCCCCCCTGCTACGGAGTGCATTTATTTTCGTACGTACGTACTTGCTTCGGAGCTCTTTATAATGAGCCCGATTTTATGTCGTACCTAACTTTTTTTTTTTTTTTTTTTTTACCCACGTTGACGTGTGTCAGGCTCTTACGTTACCGCAATATAGATTACAGGTATTAACGGATTTAGAGAAAACTCGAAACGAATCGCGGCACGATAATATTGCACCGCGTTCGCGCGCGCGTTTTTATAATCAAACGTCGCGCGTATATTTAGCGCCTGTCGCGAATCGTAATAATGAGTAATTGTTCGAGCGGACAAGGCCTTTAATTATTATTAAGCTCGCGGCGAGAACTATAGACAGCTCTCTCTCTCTCTCTCTCTCTTTGCGGTTGAATACATTTTTTTTGTGTTCGTTCGCGCGAACTTGGGGATTTTTTCACGCGCGCGACTACGCGAGTTCGTAATGTAGCTCATAAAATAAATGGTATTTATTATAAAGTAGCGACGGATCGTTGGCATGCCTCGTATGGAAAAAAAACACGGAATAATAGAAACTCGGTATATGTACGTGCAGAGCGAGCGTATATATTTCGATCTGTTTATCGATTTATCGATACGATCGATCGTACCTTGACCCTGAAAATCAATGCGCGCGAGATACATTTCAATTGTTTTTTCTCTATATTTCAATGGAGGAGTAAATACAATGATAATTGTAAATTCGAATGTAAAATAAATTTCGCGCTTCTTAGCCGCGCGCGAAGACGGATTCCCGGAAGCGAACCGATTCTTCGCGGCTACTTAGCAGAGAGAGAGCTGGCGAGTATATATCAACGATAACACGACAGGAAACATCTAATATACCAGTCGAGTTATTTTTCTTGAATCATTGATGAGACAGGCCAGGAGTCATAAAAAAAGGAAAGGAAAATAATCGATTCGCTCGCGAGTGTTTCAGTATACGTGTGTGTGTGCGGCGTCGATTTTCCGCTGCGACGGCATGGCCTATTATACCGACAAAAAATAAAGCCACTTCTCCACTGCTGCCGCCGGTGCCGTGACGCGCGCCTCGCGTTAAAGTGCAACATTTAGTTAAACGCACACACGAATTCGCGCCGACTGTCCGTCGTGCTGCTGCCGTATAGCAGCGGACAGTGGATATTACACACACTCGCGCACACGTGTGTATCGCATCGATCGCTATATACATATACGATATTATATAGCGGCTTGGCTTGGCTTAGCCGATTCTCCCGGCAAGGACACTATACTCGCTCTGTGCTTATTGTACACACACACACACACACATAGGTACATGCACACGCTTTTCTTTTTCTCTTTGTTTTTGCATCGAAACAAAACGTACGACGGTCGAGTTTTAATTTCACTTCGTTGGCTTATCTTTTTTTTCTACTCGATTATAGCGGGTCTAAAATTTGAACCAAAAGCACGGTGCGCGTATTCGTACAAACGATTGTTTCATATTTCAAGACGATTCGCACGCACGTCGACGCAATGATATGCAAAACTTTTGTGCATAGCTCGCGCGCGAATCTGCGTGCGCATAATCACACACACGCGCTCGTTTCGTTTCGCTCATTACGTATATAGGAAGTGTCATCATACGTATATATAACTCACCGAAGCAATCCCTCGACACCGTCGAGACTCGATTGGTCGGATAAACGCTGGCCCTCGACTTCTTGCTGTTGCTCGTCGTCGTCGTCGTCTGATTCTTCGGCGATTCGCGTCTTCTGCCCTCGGGCGACGACGACGACGACTCCTCCCTACCGCCGGCGCCGCCGTCCTCCTGCTCGCTCAGCTCGATGTATCTCGGCCCGCTCGGCCGACTTCCGGGTAACAACAAGTGCGGCAGATGCTGGCTTCGCGGCTGCTGCTGGGTAGGCTCCTCCGAGCGATGCGGACTCGACCTGATGAAGCTCTGGACCTTTTGCAGCTCGGACTCGAGTTGCTGCTGCTGCTGAGCATCGGCGGTCGAGGCCGCCGACGAGGAGGACGATCCCGAGCGGCCCGCGGAGCCGATCGAGCCGGTGACGATCGCGTCGCTGTTGTTGGACGTCGCGCCGTCGTTGAACGAGCCCGTGGCGATCGTTGCTTGCAGAGTACCGTCGTCGGCCGTCTCTTCGCTCGCAGTGGCTACGGGTATCATCGGATCCTCGTCCAAGTCGAGCAGATGCTGCTCGCTGCTCGAGAAATTTTCCATTTTCCTCTCTCTCTCTCTCTTATCTTATCTCGGAGCTAGCGTTGATCCAACGTGCAGACGACATTCTCGGTCCATGAAACGAGACACGAGACCAAAAGACGAGCGGCATTGCCAGGCACTTGGTCGCGCTTATCGACGTACAGCCATTCGACGGATCCGAAAGTCTAACGATACACGACGTTACATATTTATTACATGTCCGTGTGCGCGGGAAAAGACACGCAATCACGACAAATGTACGCACACAGAAGCACAAAGAGGGCAAGTAGAAAGCACTGGTAGCACACACACAGACACCGCGTGTGCATATAGACGGCGGAGCGTAGCTACTCGGCGCGCCGCCGGCCTATCTGACTTATTAATCGAGGATTCGGCCTTGGCCTCTGTTATTATTATTACGCGCGGCGGCGGCGGCGACCTGTCTATACGATATTATTAATAAGAGCAGACGAGCGACGCCAGATGGAATTGTTTCGGATGCACTCGTTGTCGCGTGGATGCACAGCTCGACTCGTTACGACTGTGGAGAAAATCGGCTCGTCGATCCAGCGACATTTCAAATCGTGCACCGATCCTCGAGCTGGCGGGGTTTCGAATTATTTGTACCGATCTCAATGCCGATTTCACATTGTATTTTACAAGTTCGGCGCAATTATATACGGTTGATTGATCGTGTCCCGTTGCACCGCGCGATTCCGAGGATATATCGTCTTTGGTATTGCGCTCGCGATTGTGTCCCGAAGCCAACTGACCAACTCCAGCAATGATATACGGAGTGGCCGGCGGCTACTGTAGTGGCCGCGGCTTATAAGCACCCACCCCTGCTTCACAGGCGTGTGTGTGTGTGTGTGTGTACGTGCATTTATGCTTGCAGTACGTTTACGTGGGATGTGTGCCAGGCGCGCGCGTACGTGTAATCTATGCAAACATGTATCTATATTACCTTCGTATGTACATGGGTCGTATCACGAAAGAGTTGATGGTTCAAAAACTGAAATTGAAACAAAGTATGTACTCTTGAAGAGTACATTGAAGAGTGAAAATTCTAAAAGTTTCAGTGCTCTAGGTCCATCCCTCTTGGATCTTCGGGGTCTCAAAGTTGCAATTTGGTTTTTCTTATTTTATTCTGCTTTCCAAGAGTGAATATGAAAAAATGATTGAAACATGATTTTTTATGTAAAATTTGATGTCAAAAATCATATTCAGAAACTCCAAGTACCCTAATTTCTAACTTTCAGCCTCAGTTGCAAAAATAAACATGTTAGTATCCAGCGATATGGCCAATATTGTAATATGTTCATCGATACACCAAAATACAACTTCTGATAAATTTTGGTCATCGGTTGAAAATCGGAACTAATTCTTCAGCTGTCGAAAGACTTATAAAATTTTACGTTGAAAATCATGTTTCATAAATTTTTTCATATTCACCCCAGGAAATCAAAATAAAATTTGAAAAATCAAATTCTAACTTTGAGACCCTGAAGATCCAAGAGGGATGGACCTAGAAGGCTGAAATTTTCAGGATTTTCATTTTTCAATGTCCTCTTCAAGAGTACATACTTCGTTTCAATTTCATTACCATCAACTCTTCTGTGATATGACCCATATGTAAGGTGTTGTGTCAATCGGGCTTGTTTAACTTTTGCATGCGCTGTAGAGTTCGTTCGTGTGCACTCGCACACATGACACTGCGACGATATAAATGTATCGTAATTATAATGATATCGAAACGCATCGCTATTAAAACGTTAATCGACGCCTTTCGAGAATATATATTTGTATTATATAAGGTAAAGCGGCCAGTTATAGGCAAGCTAAGAAAAATTGTTGCTCTCACTTTTTACTCACTTATAAAAATTTCGTTCGCCATCAAAAAAAACTAATGATAATTTTCAAGAAGTGATTAGAGAAAAAAAATGCTAATCAACTAATTATGAGCCACTCTACGGAGACATCAATCACTCTGAACTAAGGTTTCGGTTAAGTTTTTATTTTCGAGCACTGAACATGTGAAAAATGAAAATACAACGTATTTCAAAATGTGTGAGGAACCTTCCGCCATTTTTAAAAATTGAATTTAACCGTATTATTAAAAAATATTATTAAAGATTATTACAGGTGTGGATAGACAATTTTACCGGATAGCCCAGTTATGGGCCAAGGCAGAGTTATAAATCGTATAAAAAAAATTTAACAGTGGAGCTATAAATTTTTTCTTTAAAGAATAATATTAATAGAAATAGAAGAAAAATGTTATTCCGTCAAAATTAAATTTTTATTTTCATTTATTTAAATAATAGCTCAAGGCGATCCATGACTGGCTACTTTACCCATTATAATTCTGCGTCACGTGATTTGGAATGAATGTCGCTCAGCGAGGGGTCGAAAACGCTGAGAAAGTTCCGCTCGAGCGCGCGACTTTATATACCGAACATGTATATATCGAACCAGAAACTTTAGCTCGTTTTTTATTCTGACATAATATTCAACAAAAAGTTTGCGAACCAAGACGATCGTATACTTTCCTCTCTTATACGTTACGACAATTGCGCGAGTCGAAGAGTGCACGAGTTGTATATATACTACGTGGGCGCAACGTCGTCATAGCACAGCATTCATAATATATATTGCGATTTCGCGATGACGTCTCCTCGTGACATGATTAGCGACGCGATTCTCTCTCGCTCGCCGCTATCCTTTCGATTCGATTGTCCATTTTTAGAATCGACACGTTTATAAGTATAAGCACGCATCTCGATCGCGCTCGACGATACGTAATAGCAGAAATGACGCGAATTGTGCATTATGTATAGGGGATCATGTTTAAGGGGCGCGTAGAGGAGGAATGATAAAACAAGTTGTAATCTTTTTTCACAGTACTAACGAAAAGTTATCTTTTTACGTATTGAATATTAATTTTTATAATTACAGACTGTAGCAGTTTTACATTTGTTTTTTTTGTTCAATCAGGCATGATAATTTTTTTGTAATGCTCTATTTTAAATTATTCTGTCATCAACGATAAGCCTTATTGATACGTTTAAGCTGTTTGTCCCAAACCCATAAAAACAGCTGTACTCTCAGGTGAGAAATCCAAAATTTCGCTTTGTCAGCTTGACTACTCAAATTTGTATGACAATAGACGAGGATCTAGAAAATCACGCTCGTACCGTCGCGTACCCGTACATACTTTTAACAGTATACATAATGGTTAAAACGTAGTATTATACCGATCGATGACCGCCCGATGACGACGATGGCACACAGCTGCTTATAATACATTATATTATAGCTCCAAGCTACAACGTTCGAGGATACATATTCTGCTTTTTTTTGTCGTCCCTTTATAATGATGGAGCAATTATGACACACGCTGAATCGTATACGACAAGGAAAGAGAGAAAGAAAGAAAAAAGTTATAATGAGAGCGACGTACAAAAATAGATAGAAAATCACAGAGTATCGGCAAAAACTTATTTCTGTCCGTGTTTTCGGTTAGTTATTCATACGGCACGTGTTGTACCACATACGCGTGCATCGAATGCGCTTTCGTAGGATGCTTTATTTTTTTTATCGATAAATTATTTGTACGCGCGCTAGGATATCACAATTTGAAAATTGTCGCGCACTGGACGTTTCAATTGTCGCCGCACCGCGTACACGCGCTCGATAGTATAAGGCGGCATAAGAATGCATTGTCACGGTCTGTGCAAGCTCGCTCGCACACACGCGTCCATTGTCCAGCAGCAGCGCATTTATGAAGCAGCAGCAGCAGGTGCTTATAATAATACGAGCTATATACGCGAGTCGAAACGAAGATTGAAACGAGCTCATATACGAGCGGAGAAAGAAAAAAAAATAAGAGAGAGAGAGTGGAGTAGGGGGAAGAAGAATGAAAACGATTAAACGTGAATAAACGCGACAAATCAGGAGTGCCGGCCGGCTCTCTCCCTTCTTTTCTTTCTTTCTTTCTTTCTTTCTCGATCGGGGGCGACAAAGAGAGCGCAGATTCGTGTATTCAAATGATGTTCAGGCAGTCGAGGACGTGATTCCGCCGAGCGAAGTTATATTGTATCCCAGTTCGGAGGTTTTTCCAAATTTTAGGTAAGCGCAAACGCGCGACAACTTCGTATCAGGATTTTTTTTTGTCTCTTTATCGCGTTTATTCGTGGTTAGATCGTGGCAAACCTCTTTCGCTGCTTTTACTCGTGTGACGTATCGAATTGACTTTCAAAAATTATGATTAAGATTCGCGATTGATTTTACAAAGTTCTTCAAATCGCAAAAGCTTTGTATTGCATTTGTAAAACGAAATTCAGTGATAATCGACTCCAATTATAGTTCGGCCTCGTTCGACAACAAAATATAATAACGCGAAAGAAAAACTTATCGTTGGCTTCTCTCTCGCAGATTAAAAAAAGTCAAGACTCGATCTTCGTTGTAGTCTCCTGCGTCTCTTTTCTTTCGTTCGCATCGTTCGACGATCGCCGACGATTCCGCCGTATACAAAGAAAGTATATAGTGCTTATAACTTCGCGATGCGATTTCGGAAACGCGTTCGTACTGTTTTAGCCGATGGCCTCGAAAAAGATAATTTTTCCGCAGCTCGACGTTGGTGCTTCTACGTATATATTATAAAACATGCCCATATATTATGTGGATATCGATCGACGATGTGACATATAAACTTGCTCGCGCGGCCAAGTGCATAGAGACGAATTAGCGATCCTACGTACTTATTCGGTATAGAGCTGTCACGGTGGTTTTCGTGTCATAAATAATTTTTTCTCCGTTTTACTATGTACAGATTCGAGCCGCAGCTGCGCTCGCTTAACCAAATTCAAGATGAGAATCGCTCCGTTCGCTCTGCTCGTTGCTGCTGCTGCTGTGGGTATCGGTGAGTGACAATTAATACGTGCAATATAATATGATAATAACAAGAGCAAATGCAAAATTTATAACTTAATAAATTATCGTTACATTATATAAATAATTTGATGTGACGTGACCGATGGGACGATCGCGAGCGAGACAATAGAATCGTTACAGACAAAACTATACATGCGGTTTTGTCCAAGTTTCACTTTCAACGGCCGTTTTTACGCGGCTGCCGATTCGTTTGAAAAATTAATTATAATTTTAACCGATGCTGTGTAATAATTCATTATTGAGCTTTTTGATCCCACCGATAGATGGAGCGTCGCAAACTCGCGAGTGGCGAAAAAAATTTCATTGGGTATATAAGTACATATATCATGTTCATATTTGTTCAATGTGCTTTAAGGATGTGCGATTGTTGGTTGATAGATCCCGAAATTGTTCCAATAAGACACAATTGATTTTCGTGAGAAAAATCGTGTCCAAAAAAACTCACGTTTATTTTTAGGAAAAAATACAACTTTATTCAATTGAGAGCACTCTTTAAATCAAATTTATGATTTAATATAATCAATTAAGATTATGAGAAAGAAAGAGAGAGCAATTAGCGTAGCTCCTCTTCTTTGTCCGGTTACCTGGAGAAGGAATTTTTTGATCATTACTCCGATCAACACGAAAGCGGTTGCTATGCAGCCTTCGTTTTTTTTTTATATATAAATAAAATATATATGTTCGAAGTGTATCGAACAGCGATTCCACTAAGAATCGAATCGATTCTGCACAGCTGATAGAATCGTTTTTCAAGAATCGATTATTTTGAAAAAAAATCGAAGAATCGATTCCGATTCTCAATTTTTTTTAAAGAAAAGATAAATGAGCACGTATTATTCAAATTATCAATAAGTAAATTAGATTGGTTTATTTAAATTAACTGAATTACAAAAACTATTTAAAATAGTATTCAAAACTTTTGATCAATTTGAAATTTTTTTTTAATCACATAATTCCAGTCATCAGTAATTCTTTGTATAAATAATAACATATTCAAATAGTTTCTTGTCACTCAATTGCTACGAAGAGGCATTTCAATTTAAATTAACTTATAAACATGCTATACTCTTCGTTGAGAGCGTCGAATTATCCTTTTTTATACGGTCTAGGATTGAAAGTATAAGATGATAAGTTTTCAAAGAACTATTTTGCTCATTACTGGAATGATTGAGCACTATTCTTCCAAAATTTATAAATGTTTTGATTCCGAGGAATTATTAGAAATTTGAAGTATCGGTCAAACATATTGACTCATTAGTTAAATATTAACTAAACAAAATACTCTGACATAACGGAAAAAATGGATAAATTGAAGTCGGAATCGAAGCCATTGGCGAGAATCAGAAAAAGAATCGATTCTACTACGCAAGAATCGAATCGATTTTTAGTAATCGAGTAGAATCGCACATCCCTAATGTGCTCTGAAATGGTAGAATCAACAAGACCATCCACTTATATATCTTTCTTCTATTTCCGCTAAAAAAAAAAAGCTCAAGGCCAGCGAACCCCGCAAATATCCTACATCTCCGAGGAGCAGGTCAAGGACATCGGCGGCACCGTCGACCTCGTCTGCTCGGTCCAGTACAGCCAGGACTATCCCGTGCTCTGGCTCAAGATCGACGACGACGGCTACGGCGATCTGCCCATCACCTCCAACACGGCCCTCATCATACGCGACAGTCGCTTCGCTCTGCGCTACGACCCGAGCTCCACCACGTTCACCCTCCAGATCAAGGACATTCAGGAGCACGACGCCGGCACCTATCGCTGCCAGATCCTCATCTCGACCACCAGCGTCATCAGCTCGGAGGTGACGCTGGGAGTGCGTAAACCACCGTTGATTATTGATAACCCGGCCAGATCGCAGCTGGTGAGGGAGGGACAGTCGGTGCAGCTCGAGTGCTTCGCCGTGGGACTGCCGAAGCCGAGGATCTCCTGGAGGAGACAGAACAACGCGATTCTGCCCACGGGTGGGCCGATTTATCGGTGAGTCGCGCGATGGTACACCGACGAATTACCGGAAAAATTAACTCTGTCGGATTGTCTTGGCAATCGAATTTATGCATAGCTTTTATAAACGTTTGAAAACGTTTATACACATTTATAAATTTAAACAGAAGGTCGTATTTTGGGATGCGTATAAAAATTTATAAAAGTTTATAATGCTTCGGTTTCATTGTCTACTTGACGTGACATAATTAACTACATATATTATAAATTGTTTTCTCCAACTAAAAAATTAGTCAAAATTTTCAGCCAAAAATTTATATAACATTCTTTCAATATGGTGAAAAAATTTTATAAACTTTTTAAAATTTGACTCATACTTTAGATATACTCAAAAATTCTCATTAAACAGTAAAATTTTTCAACTGCCGTGCAATTATAGGTTTTTTTTTAGCTAAACGAGGAATTATAGTATGAGTCAAAGCCTAGTGCTGTAACTAGTTTTTTGTTTAAAAAATCATAACTGCACCAGTCGATAATACTATTTTTTACTCCCCCGAAAGCCTAAAATTGACGGCAAAGTTATTTTAGCTTAGAGTTTAAGCTTTGCTATATAGGTAAAAAAGAGTAAATTCGCAACGATCGCCTATATCGTTTTTTTATCAATTTTCGCAGCGGCTCCATCCTCAAAATCGCCAGCGTCAGCAAGGACGACCGCGGCACGTACTACTGCGTGGCCGAGAACGGAGTCGGTCGCGGCGCCCGTCACACCATCGACCTCCAGGTCGAGTTCGCCCCCGAGGTCGGCGTCGTCCATGCGCGCCTCGGCCAGGCCCTCGAGTACGATCAGAATCTCGTCTGTCAGATCGAGGCCTACCCACCGGCCAGCGTGACCTGGTACAAGGGCGAGGAGCGCGTGGGCGGCGGCCAGCACTACAGCACCTCGTCGTATCAGGCCTCGAGCGAGCTGCTCGAGTCGACGCTGAGGATCATCAAGGTCGAGCCCAAGCATTACGGCGAGTACACGTGCAAGGCCCAGAACAAACTCGGCGCGGCTGAAGCCAAAGTCGAGCTCTATGGTGAGTAATATATCGTGTCGTTCAACCTTATATAATGTGGAAATGTAATTTTTGTATTTTTGTGTGCCCGGCAGAGACTTACAAGCCCGAATGTCCACCAGCTTGCGGCCCGACGAAGAGGAGATACTAATAATAATAAATAATAAGACTTGACGCACGGGGGGATCGATTCGATCGATCGAATGTGTGCCAATAAATCAACTGTGTGCCATTTTTCGTAATCTTTTGTATTTATTGTTTCGTTGTATACATTACCCGAGCAATCTCGAGTTAATTAATTGTTCTCTATTATTGTGATAAATATAGATGTCGAGTGTTAAATGAGAGATTAAATGAAAAAATCGATTAATTTCGAAGCTGAAATCGCTACTGAAATTTTTTGTGTTACTTATTTCGTGTTTGACCTTGTTCGAATCGTTCGAAACTCTGCTCTGACTCTTTTATCGGATAGCTAAAGGAATATTCACTAATGATAAAAAAATAGCTATAATCATTTTTAATATAATCAAAAGTTTACTCGAAGCTTGAGGGGTTCAACATTTTATTAGCTGACAATTAAGAATGTGCTTCATTTTCCTTCAAAAATTTATTAATTTTTTCAACTTGAACATTGTTTTTACATAACGAGGTAAGGTTGTAATAAATCATGGTATTATAAATGAAAATGTTTAAATTAGTACTTTTATATTAAGTGTGTGATTGGCGATGAGCAGAATTGATGTGTCTTTTTAGAGCACTATTTTGTGAATATATCTTTCCACATGTAACGCATACATGTGAGATACCATGATGTACCGAATTTATGTGTCTTTTGGTATTGCTCTGATTTGCGAATTTCTTTCCACATACATCGCATTCATACGATTTACCATGATGTACCGAATTCATGTGATTTCTGAGATTACTCTTAGCAGAGAATTTTTTTCCGCATACACCACATACTTGTGTGATTTTACTATGAATCGAATCGACGTGAGTTTTGAGGCTATGTTTATAAGTGAATGTCTTTCCGCATACATCGCATGCATGTGAGATACCATTATGCGCCGAATCGGTGTGGCATTTGAGAGTCTGTTTTTGAGTAAATGACTTTCCGCATGTATTGCATTTATGAGTGATACCATTATGTACCGATTCAATGTGGATTTTAAGATTACTTTTTCGTAAAAGAGTCTTGCCGCATAAATCGCATGTACTTGTGATACCATTATGTACCGAAACAATGTGAACTCTCAAATAAACCTTACTTGAGAATTTCTTTCCACAAATATCACATGTAAATTTAAGACCGTTGTGCACCGTATCTGTATGAGCTTTGAGATGGCCCTTTTGTGTGAATGATTTTCCGCAAATATTACATGAGTAGGAAATACATCGATGCAATGATCTGACATGTCTGTTCATACTAGCCCTATGTGAGAATTTTCTTCCACAAATTTCACAGTTACAAGATTTGCTATCATAACACGCTGCACCGATGTGTGTTTTGCGATTATGTTTGTTGTTCAACTTTTTTATAATTCTTTCTTTATTTTGTTCCACTGGTTCACAGTCGAAATTCAAATTCGATTCTTCCACATAGTCACAAACGAGTTCCTGTTTCACTTCAACCAGAGGTTCTATTTTTATTATGTTCTGCGTTGTATAATCATTGGCAGTTTTATGAACTGCTAATGAATGAAAGTTGGGTTTCACGTCTTCACATTCAACAACTGTTTCAACTTCTTCACTGAGTTCGCTTTCACGATTAGCATCGCATTTTCGATAGGTCTGTTAAAGAGTAAAATATATGTGATATTACTTTCAAAAAAAAAAAAATACGAGTCACATTTAATCATCAAGACTTACAGATTGTTCTGGCGGAAATGATAGGAGTAGAAAGTTTTTGAGATCGGGTTTCTCGACAATCATTTCAGAATTATGTTCACCAAGCGATGCGTCGCTAGGCTCCTCTTTCACCCTGAAATAACGCGAATAAGGTTATGCATTATGTTTCATTCCCATAAAATGAAAATTACCTGTTGGAACAATTAAGTATGTCATTGGGTTCCATTGTAATCACTTGGAATTTTTTTCACAAATAATCATTCCGCGATGATTTTACTTGTCCAACTGATCAAACGCGAAAAGACCGGACGTTATATATTTTCGAAAAACTAGCCTCTACACTGTCCTCCGAGAAAAAAGTAGCAAAGCCAAAACACTGTGCAGTTAGACAACACACAGTGATGTGACACGCGACGTAAACAACAGAATGAATGTAGCTCTTTTGTACACGTTTTTCGTCAGTATTTCCGCGTAGCTTAAATTTAATTTACAAATACAAGTCTTTTTTGAACGATTTTAAACACACTTTTATTTAATAACATTCTTTTGGGATAAGTTGATGGATGTCAAACAAGAAATGGTACTATACAGTGGATTTTTTCTTAATCGTTCGATGTATCAAAGTCAAAAAGAAGGTCATTGTGGAGTTGAAAAATTTCAATCGCCATTTTAGCCTTGAATTTTAAGAATCGTTTAGAAAAAATAAAATTGCTCAAATATACACAAACGAGTACCAAGTATAATAATCGGTGTATGAATTTTTTTTGTTATTCTATACGAACTCTGTGAAATTCAATGATCAAAAATACGTAACTAACTTTCCATCGCTCTCGATTTTTTTTCCATTCGAAGTGAAACAATTTTTTAAGCGATGCGAGTAGAGTCGATTAATTTTTGGGGTCTCGGCTTCGCTCGACATCGACGAGTGACAGTTTGAAGCACGGCTCATATATATATCCAGCACGTCGTTCGAACGTCAACACGTAATAATAACTTGTCACGCGTGTTTACACTCTGTACAGATCGTAGCGTACGACGTATATAACAGATCAGTTTTCACTATAGGACGCCTCGGAGCTTGAACCAACACATAAATATCTCGTCGACTGCAGCAAGTGGCTTCTGAATAATTTAAATTTTATACAAGTGACCGCGTGTGTATAAATGCACCAAAAGTAAAAAGAAAAAAAGAAATAGACATGTCGTCGGCAAAATGCAGAAGCAACAGCGTATACGGAGTCAATCACAAAAGGCTGGAGATACTCCGCAGCTTGAGAATAAATATCGACTGGGACGACGGAGCGGAGCTAGCCGAACTCGTACGACGAATCAAGATAATCATCGGCGACGAGTGGAAGGGCGAATTACCCGATCTGCTCACCATCTTCATGCCCAAGGAGATCGACAAGCTGCTCAAGACGGCCGTGAAGTCGAAGCACTACAGGCGGCAGTTCATCGACCTGGTGATACGCGCGGGCTTCCGGGACGAGCCCAAGGTGAACCGTGACGGGGTGCCGTATCTGCGACGCACGACAGCCATCCACCACGAGGCGCGCGATCAGTGCCCCGACGTCGAGGCCATCGGCCGACTCTTCGAGATCTACCACAGGTACGACGTGAACTACTTCGACGAGCACGGGGTGACGCATTTTCACGTGGCCTGCGAACACGGCTTGGAGGACGTCGTCGAGAAATTCCTCGAGCTGGGCCAAGACCCGAACTGGCCGCAGGGCAAGACCGGCGACACGCCCCTTAATCTGGCCCTGGACAACGATCGCAAGGGTGTCGCGCGGCTGCTGCTCCACTGGGGCGCGGATCCGAACGGGCCCGACGGCACGGGCTCCACCCCGCTGCACATCATCTGCAAGAACAGGCACGCGGGCCTGGCTGGTCTGCTGTTCGGCGCCTGCGACCGGCAACAGCAGCAGGTGCAGCTGGAGGCCAGGGACAAGCTGGGCGAGACGCCGCTGCACTCGGCGCTGAGATGCCGAAACAAGAAGCTGGTGGAGGTGCTGCTGAGGCGGGGCGCCGATCCCAACGCCATCACCAGGAGTGGCGCCACCCCGCTGCACATCATCTACGACAGTCACGACGCCGAGTGGCTCCGGAAGTTCCTCGAGATCTGCGACCAGCTCGATCAGCTGGTGCTCGTGGACGCGAGGGACGAGTCGGGTAACGCGCCGTTACACCTGGCTCTGGAGCAGGACTACGAGGACATGGTGGAGGTGCTGCTGAGGCTCGGGGCCGATCCGAACAGCGCCAACGGCGACGGCGTCAAGCCCGTCCATCTGATCTGCCGTAGGAACAAGGCCGCCCTGGCGAGGACCTTCTTCGAGATCAGTCGGTCGGTGGGTCAGCCGGTGCAGGTCGACGCCCGGGACTGCAGGGGCAGGACGGCGCTGCAGCTGGCCGTGGCGCGATTCAACCTGGACATGATCGACGCGCTCGTGGATCACGGCCGAGCGGATCTCGACGGCCTCGAGTTTCCCGACGCCAAAGACTTTCGCGTGGACGAGTGCGAGCTCGAGTTCGCCGCCCGGCTGATCAGCTGCGTGGAGCGACTCGAGGCCAAAGGATACTGGTTCAAGCGGCAGGATCTGCTGACGATAATGAGGCTCTTCGCCAAGTATCAGCTGTTCGAGGTGGCGGCGGATCTGGAGACGGGCTGGTACGACGACGACAAGTTCCAGCGCTCGGCCAAGCGCACGATGATATGTCTGACGAGGACGAAGAGAGACAACGAGGACGACGACAACGAGGACGATTACGAGGACGACGTCATATCGCTGCACGAGCTGCTGAAGTCGCCGGCGGACAAAGTCGCCAGGATACTCATCCACAGGACGAACTACAAGAAATTCCTGGCGCACAGCGACCCGAGGGACTTCCCCGAGGGTTACATGCAGGCCTGCCTCGTGCATCTGTGCGAGGTGATCTCGCGGCGTTTCTTTCGCCGCTGGTCGCTCGAGTCGGTGTCGCAGCTCTCGTGGACCAGCTGCGCCGGCAAAGGCCTGCCGCGTCTCTGCTGCGACAAAATCATGGAGTATCTGAGAAACGAGGATCTGTTCCGGGTCTTTTTGGCCGCGGCGGGAGAGTCCACGAGGTGGCAGCTATGACGATATAAGCATTGTATTTCCATTGACGTTTTGTTAATACATTGATGCCATTACACTTGACGGATGCTATAAGTTCTAATAAAATGTGCTTGTAATTAGTTTAATTGATGTGTTGTTTTTTTGTTCGTGCTATATGTAAAACGATTCGAAATTAATCAGCAATTGTTCAGTGTCGAAGAAACGATCGAGCTGACAGAAATAATATGAAAAAAAAAATAAAGATAGAGGCGTATATTTTATAAAATGAATGTTTCAACTTCATCATTACGTACTCAAGTTATACTTGATAATTCTCTTAGACCACAATAACTTCAGGCTCAAAGTAAAAATACCGATCTTACGGCTCGTTTTGCTGTCAGCGCCTAATATTATCATAATCTTCTTATTACAATCTCTCTGCACTTTTCACCTCTATTTCCATAGTTTTTGATGAAACTTCTTAGCCAGGTACATGTAAAGAGAGAACCGGTGCCAGGTCTGTACAATGGCATTTTTGCATATTACACAATGAATTCCATTCAAATGTTTTCAATATCCCACCTGCAAATCCAATCGTTTTTCATAGTCTGCTCGAGATCTACATCTCTTATCCTTATTAGCGTCGAGTTTGTCGACGGACTGCCTGTTACCGAAGTAGTGCGCCATTGTAACTTTAAACTTGCACGCTTATTCTTTTACATATTTCGTTTTTATGATTTCAATTTGATCGTTTCAGCACTCTATTTTACGATAATTAAGCGTAAAAGATCACGAATTTAGAAAAAAAAAGTTAATGTCATTATAAGCTCCTGTGATATAATCTTTTTAGCTCAGGGACGGTATATTACACATTTTCATAACTGTTTCCATGTAGTTTTAGTGGCAGGCGAATGCCTGCATATGGCCCGCCGTCGATGAAAGGGGAAAGAATAGCTACAACGTACGAGCTTGAGCAATCACAGTCGCGGTGTCAATCGCATATCGTAACTCGTAACTCGTATTTGCAAATTGGTAAAATCTAAGCGTATTTAACCGCAAATATTTTCTGGTGGTGCAAATCGCGAAAGATTCACAGTGATGGAAAACGAAGAGTACACAGTTAGGTAAGACAATTTTTTTTGCACGACGCTATATAATTATTGTCAATCGATCGATATTAAACTTAACTATTTTCTGCAGTGTGAAACAAGAACTAAACGATGCTGGGCCAGAAGCCGGAGATGATTGTAAATTTGATTCGGTGGAGTCGACTCTCGAAGCGAAAAACTTTCAAACATCCACGCCTCATGAATCATCAGTGAGTTTTTTACTTTCAAAAATGTTACGATGCATCCATTGCGGGCTTTTACGATGTATCCATTCGTTAGGAAAAATTATAAACTTTCGATTGAGTCACTCAAAAAAGTCTAAATGTTCTTCAAATCTATTGAACAAAATAATCTATTTAAAATGAGTTTTAGCTCACAAATCCGAAAGCTAGCACTTTTACCCTATTTAAAGATACCGAAATTTCAATTTTTGCAAAACACATTAATGAGGTTATGGCATTACAGGAAAATCCAGATGTAAAAATGTTCATCGATTTCGAGTGCAAAAACGTTAAACCTGAACTTGGGTCTTTATCAACAATCATCTGCAAAACTGAGCATGATCAATATTTCCAACCAACTGTAAAAGTAGAAAACGAAAATCAGACCAAAGATACTAATAAGAATATACACATCGATTTCGAATGCAGAAAAGTTAAACTTGAACCGAAATTATTGTCACCAGCCATCTGTAAAGGCGAGTATCAAAGTTGTCAACCTAATGTGAAAGTAGAAACCCAAATTCAGAACAATCTCTTCAAATGTGACTGTTGCCACAAATCATTTGGACAAAAACAACACCTCAAATCGCACATGAATACAGTACACGATCATAGCAAACCCTTCGAATGTGATATTTGCCACAAATCATTTGGACAAAAACATCACCTAAAATCTCACATAAATGTAGTACATATTCGTAGCAAACTCTTTGAATGTGAGATTTGTCAAAAATCATTTGGACAAAAAGGTAATCTAAAAAGTCATATAAATGCAGTACATAATTGTGACAAATTTTGAATGTAAGATTTGTCATAAATCATTTTATCAATCACCGAAGCAAATCCTTTGAATGTGATGTTTGTAGCGAATTTTTTGGTCAAAAGCTACACCTCGAAATTCACATAAATTCAGCACACGAACGGAGCAAAGGAGCGTGAGATTAATCTGGAGACATTTGGACAATGACAACTTCTACATTTTCATGTTTACGCTTTGTTATTTTAGAAAATCATTCACCCTTTAATTTTGAAAAGAATAATAAACCTTTTTTATACTGTTATTTTGTTGTGTCTGTGAAAAATCTTTTACCTCTCCTACATCCATTAAAATACGACTCGCTTTCGTCTTCAATTTGTTCTGGCTTTCAAAAAACAAGCTTGGCTTTAAAGCTAATTCCCTCGTCCAACAACCTTTAATTATGATTTTCTTACACAAACGGAAGATTGAATAAGTACAATCGTTGATAAAAAAAATTACTGCAATCACTTCGTTCAATTTCGATTGAAAACGTAGAGCAGAGTACTACATCCTCGGGCCGCATACATAAATTCTTATTATCCGTTATAAAAGTGCATTCACGAATGCGAATTTGAATTTGTTTTCAAAATAAAGAAATAGTTCGGGGAAAATCCTCGGATAAAGTACGGCCGAAGAATCAATACATCTGTCGGAACACATCAAATTTTTCAGTAATCGATGTCAAAATTACTGCTAAGCAACTTATTATTATAAGGCATTCGAGCTTCGTGCAACGTCCATTGACAGCGTTATTAGTGCAGAGTGCTATCTCTATAATCTCACTCGCGTTTGGTATTCGCTTGCTAGTTGTTTGTTGCTGTTTCTCCGCGTGGCGTGCCAGCCAGTTCGCGCGGGCTCGTCGGCGCAGTGCGCACCACTACAATAGCAATCGCCGCGCACGTGCCACGTGTTGCTGCGGTCTTCAGTTCGTGTTCCGTTGCCGCAGCGTGTTAACAACACGCGGAGTCGCAGTCAGTGATTATTATTATTGCAAAAATAGTGAAAAAAAAAGTTCAATTGTGCCTACTGTGCGCGAGTGAGCAGAACAATGTCCTTCTCGTCGTTCTCGTCTAACGACGACGATTCCGACACGAGTTACGATTCGTCCGACGTAAACGAAAACGTAGGATTTCGAATCGTCGACTCTTCTTCCGACGACGACGACGAATGTTCGTGCTGCCGTTCAACCGTAAACGACGCTTACGATTCCGAAATCGCGGACTACATTAACCGACAAAAATTGGACGGATTGAAACGCCTGCGAGAGGAGGTCGATTGGGAGAGCAAGAAAGAGCGAGCCCGAGTCTTCTGGCAAATCTACTTCTTGATCAGCGATTGGGAGAAGTGTCCCGACACTCCTAACCTCCGAGACGTCTTTCAGCCCGCGGAAATCGAGCGGCTTCTCGTGGACGCCGTGATGGACAGATTCCGAGACAAGAACGACAATTATCCGGGCCAACGATTCATCAAGTTCGTGGCCAGCTGCGGCTACAAAGACGAGCCGGCTGCGGAATCGCCATCGTCGTGTCGCACCACACCCGTGCATCACGAGGCCAAACGCAAGTCACCCGACAAACGCAACATCGCCGAGCTGTTTAAAATCTACGACGGGTACGACGTGAACTACGTCGACGAGAAGTCGGGCCTCACGCATTTCCATGTGGCCTGTAAATTCGGCTTTCACGAAGTCATCCGGGAATTCCTCGAGCACGGTCAGGACGCCGATGGCCTCCCTGGAGTCGCGGGCGCGGCTTCGATCGATCCGCCGTTGATCTTGGCTCTGGAAAATCTCCAAGTCGCAGTGGTTAGTTTACTGCTGGAACACGGCGCCGACCCGAACGCCGTCAATGAAGAAGGTCTGACACCTTTGCTCATCTCTTGCAAGCAAAGACTGCGCGCGGTGACGTACACTTGTTCGAAAATGTTATTGGACGAAAAATATCAGTCGGTACGGATCGACGCGCGGGACAAGTCGGGTCGAACGCCTCTGCACTTGTCGCTGCTTTTCGACGACCGAAGATTGGCGGAACTGCTGCTGAGCCGAGGCGCCGATCCGAATTTGCCTTGTAGCGAGGACGGATCGACTCCCCTGCACATCATCTGCAAGAGAGACGTCGACGACAACCGAGACGAGACCGAGAATGGGCTCTTGGAGACGATCTTTAGAAGCTGCGACGAGAGGAAGCTGATGGTGCTGATCGACGCAAAGGACAACGAGGGCCGAACACCGCTGGAGGCGGCCGTGGCGAATCTGCTGCCACGGGTGGTCGACGTGCTCCTGGATCGTGGCGCCGATCTGTCCAACTTCGTTTTCCCTACCGTGGATCGATTCGACGCGAGATTTCAATCGTCGTATCGCAATCGAATCGATAACGTTAAATTGAGATTGGCTGCTTGCACCATGATGGTTATCGAATGTCTCGAGAAAAGAGGATACGAGCCGAAGCGAGCAGCAGCCCTGACCGTCGCGAAGCTGTTCACCAAGTACGGACTGCTCGAGAAGTCGTCGTCGTCGAGCCCGGAAAATCGTTGGTACGACGATCCAAACTTGGCGGAAAAAATGAAACGAGTAACGATGAAAGACGACGCTCCGAGCCCGTCGCTCTACGATCTGATCCAGTTCCGACCGGAGGAGGCGGCGAAAGAGCTCACACCCACGGACTACTTCGAATTCGCGCGGGACGATGATTTTTATCCCGTGCTCACCGACGAGGAGCACATAAAGGCCTGTATCTTGCACATGTGCGAGAAACTGTCGAGAGGATTCTTCCGCGCCTGGGCGGTGGAGTGCTTCATGGAGCTGACGCGGTACCAGCTGCCGATCGAGTGCTGTGAAATCATCGTCGACTATTCGTTGGCCAACAGAAATTTGTGTAACATTTGCTTGGCGGTTACGAATGAATAAATTAATTTGCTTGGAATTTAATTTTTGGTTTTTTTTTTCGTTCCAGTCTTGCATTCGATTTGCATCAAGTGAAATTTATTTAAAACTTTTTATTATATTTATAAAGCGCAGCATCGATACTTCAAACGAGACTAATGATTACGAGAAGAAAAAGAAGATCGCGTGCGATCGGCAACAACTTTACTTCGAACTCGCTGCTCGCGGCAAACGATTGCTCGAAGCCGTAAAAAGTTGTCAGAGGACTCGCATTACTGACGGCACGCGTGCGCTCAATGACCCTTAAACGCACGATAACAACAACAACAAAAAGAGTCATTGTTTGGAATTAATAACGACGGAGCCCGCGCCACAGAACTACGCGGAAGCTATGTCATTACGAATTACGACGCGTCGTAAGTGCAAATATGTAATTACGATCCTTTGAATGCACACGCGCCCCTATGGATAAGTATATCGTTGTTTTTTAGTGTCAATATCCTCGCACCTCCGTTCGTATCCATACACTTCATATAAATATACACTCGACACTTTGCATCGTTTTATATATAATACTGTTAATAGAGCTAAGTGACACGTGCGCGCGCGAGAAGAGTTCATGCCCCTTTATTTCTCGCGCGCCCTATTCATAAACTTGCCTGCACGCGTGCAATAAGCTCGGAGAAGCGCACGGCATTGACGGCACTTCTTTTTTGTCTTTTTTTTTTTTTTTTTGCTACCTTATGCATTACGTTTACATTACACGGGTAGCTCTCTCGAGCGGAGTAAGCAATTTCTTCCTCTTTCTTTATTTTTGCGCGCTCGCGTTCGCCAAGCAACATAACGTGTATACACACGCACACCTTCGTGGGCGGGGATCATCGTGCAACGTCGTCGTCTTTCTTTTTTCCACTCATTCGGCGGTACATACAGTACGGTGTAAGTATATATGACTCCGACTTGGCCGGAGTCGAGTCATAAGTGTGTGTATGTATGTGAATATGTGCTCGGACTATAGACCTCGCCGCTCCGCCGCGCGGAGATATGTTTCGCATGCTGTATAGTGTTGGTGCACACACCACTACCTATAGAGAACACCTCGGTGCTCTCTCGCATGCTCACCTGCAGAGAGCCGCGCGCGAGTGTATGTGATATGGTGCTTATATATACACACACACACAAGCCTTTCGCACTACTATGTAGCGTATCATGCTATATACTCTCCTTCTTGTTTCATGCGTCGCGTTGGGCGCGTCTCGTCGTAGTCGTATTAGATGTGTTGTATATAACCGCGCGCTCGCTGCAGCCGACGACGATTCAACGTCGCGGTCAGTTTTATTTATAAAAGTTTTTTAAATTTAACGAGAATACGTAAAAATATCTCTGTGTTATTGTGAAAGGTCATCTTCTTACATTTATATTCGATTCGTTTGTGCAGGACGATAGAGAGTCGAAAGAAAGCGGAGCCGCAGCAGGTGTGTGTGTTTTGGTGCTGCTGCCGGAGTGTCCAGATTTACACCCGTACGTAAACAACCCGTTCGGAAAGATAAAAACCAGGCCAGGATGAAGCAGCAGTCGTACTCAACTCTGCTGGTGCTCGTCGTCCTCGCGGTGCTTCGTTCGGGTAATTCTCGTTGTATACATTTTAATTATTACCGTGCTGTGGCTTGTGGCGTTGCGCATAGTTCCGTTAAGTTTTTTGGCTGTCTATACGCAGTGTGCGATAACCCGAGCGAATGATTATAATACGCAGGTCAAACATTGCCCAGCGATTAGCGCGATCCTCAAGGCGAACATAAAGCCCAAAGAAGAAGAAGAGATGATGAAGAAACATAATATTGCGTGCGAATTCAGTACACTTGTACGCGCACGCGCTCTTCGTTGCACACACACACACACACAAGATCGCTCGCGTATTATTTTCGATGTAAGCGGTTAAAAAAACTGTTGCTCACCGACTTGTCAAGTCGACGTCGTCGACTTGAATTAGTAATTTTCCTCCACGTATACGAAGAAATGCAAAAATTTGCATCTTTTGAATGAACTCCGCGACTCGTTGACTATTATCAATTTGTAAACACGGCCTCGCGAGTTTGTTTGACGATCGCAAAGATTCGATCAAAACATCAATGTAAACACACCATTATCTTATCTGGTCTCTTTTTTTTTTGGTCTTTTCGAGTGTTAATACATAAGTGGATTATTGACATTACGATTGCTCTTTCAATTTTTTGACCAAACGCATTGTTTAACTGCATTGTGTTTTCTTTTGTTTTTTAATTGATCTTGAATACTAATTTTCTCTCATTGAAAATAATTTTCTAATGAATCATGAGGCTTGATGCTTTCTTAGTCATGCTCTATGCTCATTGAATAACTTTATTTTTTTTGCAGCGAATTCACAGAGAACACCAACGATATCGTACATATCTCAGGAGCAAATTAAAGATATTGGAAGTACGGTGGAATTTGTCTGCTCGGTTCAGTACAGTCAAGATTATCCGGTACTGTGGATCAAGCTCACTAAGAACAGGGAGGATCAATTACCAATTTCTACCAATACAGCACTTATTATTCGTGACAGTAGATTCGCTCTGAGATCTGATTCCTCGTCTTCCACTTATACGTTACAGGTTTGTTTTATCATTATTTTTATGAAGTATAGTTTTCAAAGCAAGTACTTTAATTATGAATTGATACATAGATCAAGGATATTCAAGAAACTGATGCAGGATTTTACTCTTGCCAAATTCTAATTTCTACAAGTAGCAGAATCTCAGCAGAAGTAGAGCTGCAAGTTAGAAGACCACCAACTATTAATGATAACTCTACAAGATCTTTAGTTGTCAGCGAGGGTCAACCGATTCAATTGGAGTGCTATGCAGTTGGTTTTCCTGTTCCTAGAATTTCTTGGCGCAGAGAAAACAATGCCATTTTGCCAACTGGTGGTTCAATCTACAGGTCAGTTTGCAATTTATTTTTCAAGTTTTTTTTAAATTGATTTTTCTGATCTATTTTCTAATTTAATTTGTTAACTTAAATTCTTTATAATAACTTAATTAAGTCATAAACTTGATTAATTTATACTAATTTTATTTCTTATTTGCAGAGGAAACACTTTGAAGATTGCAGCAGTGCGCAAAGAAGATAGAGGTACTTATTACTGTGTTGCTGAAAATGGTGTCGGTCGAGGAGCTCGTAGAAACATCAATTTGGAAATTGAGTTTGCTCCAGTTATTACTGCACCTAGACCACGTTTAGGTCAAGCACTGCAGTATGATATGGATCTTGAATGCCACGTAGAAGCTTATCCACCTCCTGGAATAACCTGGCATAAGGATAATGTGCAACTTTCCAATAATCAGCATTATAGTATATCTCATTTTGCAACTGCAGATGAATATACAGACACAACACTTCGTGTTATTACCATAGAAAAGAAACAATTTGGCGAATACATATGCAAAGCGGCTAACAAACTTGGAAGTGCTGAAACTAGAGTTGAATTATTTGGTAAGAACCCTTTTTTTTTATTTTAAAAGATGATTTTTGAAAACTTAAAATTTTATAAGCATGTTTTTGTTGAAATTCATATTATAATGTCAAAAACTTATTGATTGACATAATAGTTCTATAGAGTATGAATAGTTGGCATGCATTAGTTTTTTCCCCTTTTTTGTGCAGAAACCATTATACCTGTATGTCCACCTGCATGTGGGCAAGGATTTTACCAAGCTGGTATAGTCTCTTCAATGTCTTCTGGGCTTTTAGTAGCTACTGTCGTGACTTTAGTCTTTTTTGCCAGGTAAGTTTTTTGTGTATGACTCTTTAAAGCCCAGTATATTTAGAATACTCGTTTTCTATCATTACTCAGTTTGTTTGTTTTTTTTAATACAACATTCCTAATTGATCTCAGTTATTAAATGAAATTAATTTTTTTTTACAGAAACTTTAATACCAAACATTAATTATCCCCGAGTTTTCTCGTGGTCGAGAAGTCAGTGCCTCAACTCACCAACGTTGCCGTTAATCATGATCATAAGCAGTACAATTCTGACAGGATGCCTATTCTTAAAATTCTAAATATCTAAGATCTGGTACAAAGTAAATTTTAAAAAGATATAAGCCGATGTTCGATTAGAGTGCAATAATCTAATCCAACTCTAAAAACGATTCCCTCCATTAATGAATCTCATTAGGTTCGAGTATTTTAGCGTAGTTAAAACAGAATCTCAAAGACGATAGAAACTAGTAGATATATATGAATTTATATATTATTATTATATATATTTATTATAAATGTGAAAGAAAAATAATAATTTGTAACAATACAAATTTTTATCGCTTAGTCATCAGCATAATTTACAATGGTAGATGAAGTAATAACAATTGTGACGCAAATTTCGAATATTTATACAGAAAAATTTTATACAAAACATACATAAATGTACGAAACGCACCAATTTTATAATATACCCTAATGCTAGATGTGTATTTTCTTACGAGAATATCTTTGTATAAGTTACAAACGTTAACGAATCTATTGTTTTATATTATTTCTGTGTAATAAGCGAATGACAATTTTTTTTTATTAATTCAACCGCTGTATATTAGTTATATAAATATTAATTCGAACAGAACAAAACAAAAAACGAAAATCACGTTTTGATATTTTCATGTTATTATATTATGTTATTATTATTATTATTATTATATGTGTTTGCGAAAAAGTATTCTCAAATCGCCGATAAATAAAAATTTTTACATTTTAAACACGGCCTTGCTGATTGTACCGCTCTTCAGGGCGTCCAGCGCCTCTTTGTACTCGGACAATTTGTAAGCCTTAATTCCCAGGTTATCGTAATTCAAGTATGTATCCGACATGGCCTCGAGCAGGCCCAGACCCTTGGGAAAGGTATAGGGATTGATGTTCACGCCGTGAAACGTCAGCTCTTTCTTGTAGACCTCGTAGGGCTCGATGGCGATCTTGGTCTTGGGCGCCGACACGCCGAAGAAGCAGAATCGACCGCCTCGAGCCAGCAGGGGCACCGCGGCCTCCATGGCCGGGCCGAAACCGCTGCAGTCGACGATCGTGTCGAATTCGCGACCCCTGAGCTGTTCCGGATCACAAGTTTCGTAATCGAGCGCTAGAACGAAAAGAAAAATGAAGATTTACGTAATTACAGACTCGTATAAAATCATCACCGATAAGCACATGACGCGATTATATCATCACCGCGGCACGTTTATACTCGTGTCTCCTTATCAAAAGTGCATTATCGCTATTCATACGGTAGATTTGAAAAACAACGCACCGAGTTTTTTGACACCCTCCCTGCGTTTCGGCTGAGGCTCGGAGACGGTGACGCTTCTGCGCAGACCGTGAAGATGCAGCAGGCAGGCCCAGAGCAGGCCGATTATCCCGGCACCGAGGACGAGGACTCGCTCGCCTACGTTGATGGGATTCATCCGATTCCAGCCGTGGGCCAGGCACGACAGAGGCTCGCTCAGTGCGGCCTTGTCCATGTCGACGCCGTCGGGCACTCGATAAACCTTAATAATTATAAAGTCGAAATGTATAATTTCCTATTTTTCTTTTCATCGACGAATCGACTCACCTGTTTCTCGGGCACCACGGCATGGGTCGACCAGCCGCCGTCTCGAAAAATACCGATCGTGTTGTTGATCCCACCGTCGAGGCACAGATGATAGCAGCCCTTGTGGCAGTCGTTGCACAGGTCGCAGCCGCTGTTCGGGTCCACGGTCACCCTGTCGCCGATCTTGAACTTGGTCACCCGGGCTCCGACGGACTCGACGACGCCGGCGAACTCGTGGCCCATCGTCAGGCTCCCGGTCTGCTTGCACGGGAAGTGACCGGCGATTATGTGAAGATCGGTACCGCAGATACCGGAGTACGAGACTCTGACGAGCACCTCGTCCGAGGCTGGCTTGGGCTTGGGCCCGGTCTTCAGGCTCAAGCTCTTGCTCGCCGGGTCGAAGCTCAGGAATTCCATTTTATATTAATATATTATTACAGTTGTTCTATGCACCGAAACGCGACCAAGACTGCGCGAAAATCGACGACGACGATACACTTTGATCTTGACTCTCTCGCGTCGTCGTCGTCGTCGTCGAGTGTCACGCGTTTATCATCGACGCGCGATGCAATGCAAGTATACTTATATATCGCGAATGTGCGTAATAAATATAGATTGGAGCAGCTGTGGTGATGGTGGGGTGTGCGACGAACATCGAGACATCTCGCGAATTGTATAACAATACCACTACGCGCGTATCGAAAATTCGGAGTACGATCGGCAGAGCCGATAAAACGAGCCTATAGCGTGATCGAGAGAGACGAGCCTCTTATCGTTTTACAGAAACTTTGGGGGTCATTTCCTCGAAAGATTACACAGATTTGAATCTTTTTTTTTTCGAGTCATGACGAGTTGCAGAGTCTGTACTACTATACGTATCTAGAATTTCTTCGATTCTTGCCTCAGACGTAAATAGTAAATAATTGAGATCGCGCGTGGGTGTGTCCGCGCGACGCTTATTTGTTTTATCAAAATTAAAAGTCGTGTAATACGGTGCGAAATCTCAAGAGCTGCCCCCCGCGTGTAAGCGTTCATAATAAAATAATAATGATAATGAAAATACGCTCAGCTGGTTCGCGTAAACTGCAGCGGAGTCTCTCGCGGACACAAATTGAAAGTCGCGTCATCGCGTTGACGTCGACGACGGCGAAAATCCAATTTTCATTTTCTTCCACCCCAGAACTATTATGTAATTACCACTCGATGATCGCGCAACGCGCAACGCTGTCGGGGGAAAATTGAATCTTATTTTCTCGCTGTGTTTATCGCGAGGTGGCGGCTGCTGCTGCTGCTGCTGCACATTTCTCGACGTCTGGCGCGATGTATATAAATTTGCTTTTGGAGTCTATTATATTTTTAGAATATACAACAAAATTGGAGATCGAGTGGATCGCTTTATAAGATAGTAATAGTAGAGTAAACGAAAGCGAATATCTTTGCATCGATCTGAGTAGACACATGCGAAAATTGTAGTAATTTGTGAAATTTTTGGTAAGAAGCTTTTTCGACTCACATCTTATATTTTCGATACGGCTACCCGTGAGAGCAGCGTAGGTTTATTGTGGGCGTTTACCATACCCGTGGACGTCAAATTTTATACACATACTTTATTAGTCTCGAACTATTTGAAAAAAAAAGTTTTTAGTTTTATTGCGCTTGGTGTTCGGTATAACTTTTCTCTGAACACTATTTCATGTTGGCTTGCATGCGCGATTCAAAGAAATTAATTAAATTTATGAAGTTAATTTGATCTGAAACAAAATTTTAAACACCATACAACTCTATAAACGTTACTTATCGCCCATAGAATGAACGAAAAAAAAATCGCTCAATAGTATCTTCATTTTGGAATCTAATATTTCATTCTAGTTCATTCTAAGCAGTAACGCGTGCAATTCAATCGTGCACGTTACGTTTTTGAATTAATTTTTTTTTATACAGAAGAAAGTCAGTGAAGAATGATTGTAAAAAGTTTCATTTTGACCGATTGAAAAAACATTTTTCTTTTAATTTAGAAAGTTTAAATTCTCTTACAAAGCATTGAAAACGAAACGAAATGTAAAGCCCACGTAAAAATGCATACAAAATTTTAGATATTTTATCTTCAATCAATAAAAAATGTTTCATTTTTCTTTGTTCTTTTTTCTTTTATTCAATTTATATATATTAATAATCCGATTTAAGTATACAAAATAGCTGTTAAATTACAAACAAATTTCAGTCACATAATAAAATACTGTACAATATGTAATTTACAACACTATGATCTCCACGATCACTTGGAGTTTCTCTCGAGCTCCACCGCCAAGCAGATATTATACAAATCCAGATTATCCAGCGGCCTGACGATCATCTCGCAGACCTCGATCGGCAGCTGCCAGCGCTGATTCGACATCAGCTCCTGGAAACACAGCTCTCCCCACCGGCGGAAAAATCTACGCGACATCGTCTCGCAGAGGTGCACCTCGCACGCTTTCCTGTAAATTTTCTCGATGCCGCTCAACGCGTCGTCCTCGTGGCAGGCCAACTCGTAGCCGTCGGACCAGCTGACTCGATGCTTGGCCGCCGCGACCGAGGCCGGCATCCGCATCAAGTCGTACAGCGACAGATCCGGTTTGATCAAGATCTCTCTGGCTTTGACCTCGAACTCCTCGTCGGCCATGGCGACTCCTAGAACGATCCCCGTGTCCTGCGTTGCGAACAGCCCGTGTTTATCGAATAATTTCATGACCGCCAAGGCGTCGTTCAGCTTCATTTCGTATCCTCTCTGTTCGAGATTTTCGTATACACCCAGCGCACCGGAGCCCACTCTCAATTTCATTGCGGTTGTATAATTTTTGTGGGCAAATTTGAGCTCTGGCGGAAAAACGAAGCTCGCGAGATCGGCGCCACGAGCTAGCAGCACCTCGACGACGTTCGCCAGGAGATTCTTCACGGCCAAATCCAGCGCCGTATTGCCCGACCTGTCCTTGGCGTCGACGTCGATCGTCTGCTTCGCCTCGTCAAAAAATACCTTGGCCAATCCGTCGTCCTCGATTCTTTCACAGATCGTGTGCAGCAGAGTCGATCCGTTCCTGCTCACGAAATTCGCATTCGCGCCTCTGCTCAGTAGTAATTTCGCCTCCTCCTTCAGACCCTCGGACACGGCGTACTGCAACGGCGTCTTGCCCCATCTGTCCGGCGCGTCCACCTCCAGCTGCTTGCCCAACTCGTCGCACACCCTGAACAGCATCTCGGTATTTCTCGTGACGCAGCTCGTGTGCAGCGGGCTCTGCCCGTCGTCATTGGCCAGCTGGGGATCGGCGCCCTGCCTCAGCAGCAGCTCGACCTTCCAGGAGCCGCCGGACCACAGAGCCAAGTGCAGCGCCGTCCTCCCCCGGCAGTCCTTGGCGTCGATCAGCAGCGCCTTGTATCTGTCCTGGCTCAGCTCGAATATCGCCCCGAAAATTTCGTGGCTGCTTCGCGCGAGGCAGCCGATGTGCAGCGCCGTCAAGCCGCAGAGGTTGGTCGCGTTCGGATCGGCGCCCCTGCGCAGCAACAGCTCCACCACCTGGCGTCTGTCGTTGTTGATCGCCAAGTTCAACGGTGGATCCTCGTAGCCGGGGCAATTGGGGTCGACGCCGTTGTCCAAAAATTTCTCCACTATCTCGGGCAGTCCAGCCTTGCAGGCGGCGTGGAAGTGCGTGTATCCATCCTGATCGACGTAATTCACGTCGGTTCTGTCGTAGATCTCGAACAGCGCCCGGATCAACTCCGGATCGACGCTCGAGTAGCTTCTGTCGTCGTTCGCGAGGTGCACGGGTGTGTTGCGCTGGGCGTCCTGGCCGCGAAACACCAGTTGGTCCTTGTAGCCGGTGCGCGCGACGAACTCGACGAAACGAGCGTCTCGGTCCGTATGGTCGTGCACAGCGTGAAAGAGAAGCCACTGGATCTGGCGGGGCTCGAAGATCGCGAGGAGATCGGGTAGCTTGCCCCGCCAGTGTCTGAATATCGGGCAGATCAGACGGTAGATTTTCATACGCTGCTGAAGATCTTTCCAGTCGTGCCTGAGCAGCATCAGCTTGATGCTCATGATTTTGCCTTGATTGACCTGCTCCAGGCTCTCCTCGTCGAACTCGTGCATCACGTAGCTGTCGTCGTCGTCGTCGTCGTTGTCGGTTTCGCTTTCGGAGGAGTCGGAATCCCTGCTGATTTCACCCGCGTCTACGGTTGACTCGTCGTCGTCGTCGTCCCTCGACTCGATCTCGTTCGGGCAGCCCTGCACCGGGACATACGCACGCAACGGAAAATCCATCGTTACGATGGAACACTGCACACCGAGTCACTTATGAATTATTTACGAAATGATTTGTTTGTATACTTTTACGTGGGAACGGCGCCTTTCTGTCGGCTGCTTTTATACGATGTGGGGCCCGAAACGTGTTCCGACAAGTTCAAAACTCTACTTGCTGTACGTGAGCTGTACGTATGTGTGCGTGTGTGCGCGCGGTGCAACTTGCTGTAACGCGCAGATGCTGCGCTCCATCCTCGTGTTGTTCATTGACGAAAATTGACCGCTGCTGGTGGCGGTACGCGAACGGTCAAAGTCACAAGATACGACTAGCGGGGCCGTAACATTTTTTTTAAATTTCTCGATTTCATTTCTATACGTGTGAGTCGATACTGTAGAATTTTGGAGAAAAAATTGCGGGAATAGGCCTCGTATATTTTCTACTGTATTTAATATGATTCAGGTAAATCGTGTAATTAACAGGGATATGGATGAAAGCGGCAGTAAATACAACACTAAATTATTATGATTCACCTATATATATGAGTCATATCAGAAATGAGTTGATAGGTCCAAAAATGACCTGTCAACTAAATACATTTCTTAAAATTTCATGAAAAAACAAAACTTTTCATGTGTTTAAAAAGTGCCATGGTTCCTTCCTTCAAAATCTACAGCTGCTCAAAGTTAGAATCTAAAAACTAACTTTTTTCTCCATAGGCCCAATGTAGCTCTGAAAAATAAATCAAACATAGTATTTTTATGTATTTTTTGATAAGGAATTCATTGGTGATATGTAAAAAGTGATTCAGATACTCTTACACCAATAAAAATCAAAAAAATACATTTTAGGCCCAAAATAGATGTGTTCGTCCTCTTGGATTTGCCTGAAATTAATAGAGTATGATTACAACATCAAAATAAAGTCCTCTACCAAGTGGCATTATCGGTTGGCCAATATCGAGGAAGATATATACCATGAAATGCAGTTATCTTTCACTTTTACTTTATGATAGACTGAATATCGACTATTGATACTGCCTAGAGCAATGAACTACATTAAATACCAATTTATCTTTTTAAAGTACAATCATAAGTACTTTGTGCACAGAGTTCATATTCAATACCACTGTGAATGAAACAAACGCTAAAGTAATATTCAATCCAAACAGTGCATACTAGTATTACTTATCTAGCATAAATGAAGTTATTAATTGATTACATAAGAATAAGGTGTGAACTCTGTGCACAAAGTACTTATGATTGAACTTTAAAAAGATC